TTAATCGGTACTTTCTCCGAACAAGTGCCGGACCAGAACCCTAACAATGAACCCCGACTTGCACGCGATATTTCCTTCATTTTACCTTGTATTTTCCTCACCCTTTACTTACGCGCGCACACACACACACACACACACACACACACACACACACACACACACAGGCACCTCATAGCCACACAAATTGAAAGAAACTAGTCGGAAGCTTAGGGCTTGTCCCAGGGCAGGTGCGCTGTTCGTGAGAGAGAATTGGATGGGGGGAAAACCCCACAAGGTCGGGACCGTATCTTGTAGGGGAAGGTCACCTCCACACTTCCTGACACCGCATGTACTACTCTTACGGGGCAAATGACCATAGACGTTGATGTGCCCGGAAACCCGATATAATCAATCAAAGAAGATCAGGGATCAGCCCAGCACCTGACCTGATGATGGGAGTGAGTAGAGAAATGGGGAATTTTGTTAGATATTTTTACCAACGAAATTCGCGATCAAAGGTAAAAAATCTTGCCATATTCCTTGAAATTACTGTGCAGATAAATATCCCTAAGGTTTCTCCAAATAATAAATCACGGCATAAAATCAAGTTCTTGTGTTCCCGCGACTTCTGGTGGCAAATTCTGCTTACTCGCGCTTTATATGTGGTGCAAGAAACTTCAGACAAATGTGATACTGGGACTCGTCAATTCATAACGCCTCATTAATAAATTGTTTATAACTAAATATTCTTGTTCGTTACGCAAATCGTACGCTAAAACTCGTGATATTTTAGGAGGTGATTGAAGAATAAGACCAAAACGAAACTCAACAACACCAAAGTTTGCCCATTGCAAAGAATTCTCCAAAATGCATATTCAACTAAGGCATTTTTTGTTAAATTTCCATAATTAACCCGATATGGCATCCCTGATCAGGGCAGCCGTTCTCTAGAATTCCTATCCAGGCGGTGCGGCGTTGGATTCGGGCCCTGCTTTTAAGCCATTGTCGAGCCCCCGTCCCTCCGCCACCAAAATACCACTTTCCGAACTCGAAGCTGTTATGCACTCTGTCGATTGATAAAATGAATTGAATAATATAAATTGTCTATAATGATTGATAAAATGGTGGCGGCAATGGTGCAATGCTTAGCGTATCGGACTGTTCGCGGGTTCAAACCCGGTCGACGCCGTGGATTTTTAAGGGCGAAAAAATCCTACATACGCCTTCCTTCGGAGGGGATGTAAAGACGGCTTACCCATGCTCGTAGATTTACTGCACATAAAAGATCAAGCCTAAATGACTCTTCTGAGATTCAATTCAAAATTGTCTCTTTCGTCGTCCAACAATTACCTCCTTTCTCCGCTAGTTCGTGAAAGGACCGTAGAGAAATGTGCTTTGTCAGACGAAAGAGCAGGCCTCGTGGCTGGGGTCTCGCCGAGTAAAATAAGGCATCATTTCAATAAAAATGAATTTATAAAATAAATTGAATAATTATTATTCAGTGTTACCTAGCGCATGAACAACTACGGCCGTTATTCCTGAATGCGTAGTGCATGATTTCCTCCGGGATAATGCTTTATTGCCCCCGCTGGAACGCTGGATCTGGCACTATGCTGCAGCTGGCGAGTTTCCCCGTACCAGGTATCTCCCCTGTCGGGCTCCGTCGCAACTGGGACAAGTTCCCAACATATGTTTTGCATGCATGTTTGTAGGGAGTGAGGATGGGACGAAGGATCGCGCACGGTCCGTGGCGCGGATGCTATAGAGCAAAAGGTTTTCAAACTTTTTTCGTCCTCGGCTCCCTTGACTTTAACAAAACTTCCCGCGGCTCCCCTGACGACAATAAGTTTCAAACATAGGGTCAATGTAGGCCTACTAATTCAACACAAATAAGTGATACAATAGGCTATTGGTAAATGGCTTGCCAGGTTCAATTAATCCACAATTAATTAGTAAAATAAATCACGTACATTACAAATAACATATAGTATGATAGTACAAAACTATTTTGTAGGCATAAATAATACAAGCATTAAAGGAAATCAAATCTAATCACCGGGAGCCGCGACGCACAGTTTCAAAACTTCTGCTATAGAGTACTGCTCCGGCATTTGCCAGGCATTTATAGCAGAAACCACGACGCATTGTACTGATTGGAAAAAGAATTGAAAACTACCGATTAGAGCAGCCGCCCGCTAGATTTCTCTCCCAGACGACGCGTCGGATTTTAAGTCTGTTGCTCTGACGGCAGTGATGCCAGCCTTCTTTCTCAGCCAGTATTGAAAATCGACAAAATTGATTACACGTGGCTCGTTTTCAAAATATGTATTCACGCAATAAAACTTAAGATTATAAACCAGGTGCATAAACTATTATAAAAAAAAACTACATAACGCGCCGCTTTGTCTGTAGATTCTTTAGGCTGTACAAATACGTGGTAGAAATGCTTTTTGGACTATTGGGGATGGGTGGGTATTTTCGCTTTTAGGATTTCGGATTGCGTGCTATTTCTTCACATATTCTCCGGTCAATTAAATCTCGTTTTGTACAGTCTCTTATGCAATTGAAGTTTCTAAAGAAATTGAAATGATATCAAAAATAACAGCCTGAAAAGATAATTAATTATGAATTATGCGAAACAATTGTCAATAATTTCATGCCTATCAGAAATAGGAATGTTTTAAGCATAATTTCGAGACCCTTCATTCACATTTTAACTTTCTTTCTAAGGAGTAGAGTGAAAGTCATGTACTATACGCGCAAGTTTTCTCGATATTTCACAGTGCGAGGTGCGGGGAGAGGAGGGCTTTAGCTTAAAAGGGCGTAAACTTAACTCGCTAAAGCGTGCCACGAGAAATGCTACGATTGTTTCGAAAGTACGAGGTGATTGCTGCCAGCATTGTAAATTGGTAGGTGCCGTTTCGAGTCCAATCTCAGTGTGCCGTGCTATTCAGCACTGGGTGAGCACTAGGGAACTCGTGTGTCAAGAAAACTTGCGCGGGTAATAATGCTGCGTAAAAACCGGCAATAAGAGATTTTCGACAGAAAATTTCGGCGCTATTTTAATTTTTGGAGTACTTTACAGGAAGCCCCTGGGACATTTTCATTTTTTTTAATGGCTACATCGTATTTGATAATATTTTATTGTTGGATAGTGTAAAGGACGGTTAAGAAAATGGTGCAGGTTTAATATTCCTTAAAATCCCCGATTCTTCGAAAATTGCAAACGTTCAAAATTTTTTCGGAGCCTTCCTACAACTACAATTAAGAAGAGATTTCTTTAATAAAATCTGTTCCTTAAAGATATATTTTGATATTTGGTCATGTTCATTTTTCCAAAATTTGAATACTTTTCGCGTAATTTTGTGTGAAAATACGAGCGAGAAAGTACCTGCACCACTCGTTTGTCCTAGTCTTCATTGTCGGAACATGGGTAAAAAATGTCGCGACAAGATAATTTCAGAAAAATGCCTGAATTTATTTGTTTTTTAGATTTAATTTTTAAAACGCAATTAAAATTCGCAAGTCAAAAGTGTGCCATATTTCGGTTGGCGTGTGCAAAGAGGAATTTCTCAAAAGCTGTATAGTTTCAAATTAATAAGCATTCCTTGAAATATGGCGCCGTAATTTGAGTTCCACTTTTTCTGTACATTCTGTTAACAATGTACCAATAAAAAAAAGCATCCAAGAGATTACATCTCTTATGACGGTGTTGGATATTGTCTGTGACCTCGTTCTTGAGTTGTGTTAATTTTAAGTTACATATTTTTCAAAGCTGGAAGGTAGGCTCGATTCAGATTTTTGTACTCTAAATATATGAGATTATGATAACCTATGAAGAATATTCTTTAAGATTTCCGGCCCCGCGCGGCATTTTGCTATATAACGCCAATCGTTTATTTTCAGATGGATAATATTCAATGCGGAAGATTCAGAACTAAAACGAAAAATTAAAGTCAAAATTTTAGGATGTAAATATAACTTCTCATATTTACATCCTATGTTCTATATTCGTTTTCGTAACTCCAAACCTTGAACGATTACATTCAAAATTCTCATTAAAGAGAAAATTAAACATGTCCATGAACGAACACTTACAAGCCATGTAGTTTCAACTTCCTTCTCCAAAGTATCATATTCTACCATTTCCTTATTCATTTCAGGAAAGTAGTTTTTAGGTTGCACCGCTAAAATGTATTATATTAATAGTTTATATTAATATAATTTTAGGATAATGATTTGTTAAAGTTTAATCCCTTATTGAAAGTTTTATGAAATATATCATCACATGAAAAATATTAGAAAATGTTTTCACCTGAGTTTATTGTTAATTATCGTCAGATATTTTTAATTCATTTTTTCTTATACATTGAGTAAAATATAAAATGCATTTTTTTTCAGTGATAATTATAACATTACATCAGAGAATGACCACAAAAACAACAATGGCACGGGAGTATGTGTTATTTGTGGTTTTGTTGAAATATGTTTCAAAATATTGTTTACATTGTAAAACGTCACAATACTTGCTACTAGTTGTTACGGCAAGTAATAATGAGTTGTTAACCAGCATACGGAAATTTTTCGGCAGTTTCCGTGGAAACATTCATTAAATACTGGGATTAGCCCCTAATTCATCTGAAGAGTGACGTAGTATTTCTGTGGCTTACATTCGTTGATGTATTCACATTTCTGAAACGTTCATTAAAGACAATTAAATTGTTTTTGTACTCAGTAATTGTGTATTCACAGCATTACTTTTTCTCTGTGCACTTCATTGAATCCAGAATTGTAAACCTTCATACCAAATAGATCAAAGATAGATCAAAGAATAAGTTAATTTATTGTTTGCTCGTTGCGTCGGAAATATTAGTCGAGAAGTACGTAAACATTATCATTCCATATTAATCGATTCTCGCAACAAACGATAGTTGTATAAATGCTGTGATACTATTTATTCTCTGCAGGATATCAGGAAAGAGGAGTAAACAACTTATTGTCATTGTTGGTATTTGTCAACCATGTTCCGAGCAGCTGCGAAGAAAGTGTGCGAGTTGGTGATCGACATTTGTGGATCTTTTGTGTCAGACGCCGTCGGAAATCGGAATTCTCCCGGGAACAATGGTAACTGGAAATATAATAAGGAACAATGACAAAGAAGTTCCTGTTGTCTAGGAAACGAGTTAAGTGCAGTTATGCCGGATCGTTTTTGATGTTTTTGAAGAAATCAAAATTCTCGTTATCCAAAAGTGTTACTCTAAAAATCGAGCAAATGGTATAGGACCTAATCTTCTAATCGATATGACACGCCATTTTATAGAATGTTATTGAATCGACGCCATGTTGGTAAAAACACGAACGCTGCTGAAAAGTTAACAGAAAAGCAAAAGATCTTGAGACATCGCTTGCCAGATTGGTTTGTAGCCATCTCACGTTTTTCACATTCACTAGTATTTATGGTCTATTTAGTTTCTTTTCCCTGTGTTGTGATATTCCTGTAGACAGTCATTCTTTGGTTTTGATTGCTGTCACTCTTTTGATGTTTCCTCAAGCGTGAACCCCGCTTGCATGTTCATTGCTTATATTATTATCCCTAATTCTATTTTGCCGGAAACTATAAAAGAGCTAATGCTTCAATATTCTTCTGACGCATTTATTTGTAACGTTTCGCTATTAACTTCGTATTTCTCAAACAAAATGTTATTTCGATTAGAAACATTGTAGTCGCTAATAGGTTATACCTGATGTTGGAAAGTTTAAGTTTACCACCTATTGAGTAATTTGACAAAGTAATGTTTAGAGTAATCATGCTAGTTGCACACCCACAACTTACATATCATTATAAAAAATAAACATATTGGGGTGCTTTTATCTGCATCTTCCTTCGTAATATTTTTACTGTACTTTGTACTTATTTTAACATGTTAACTCATTTTCAACACATTGTCAATATTTTCAACAATGCTGATGTATCATCCCCATCTTTCCCAGCACATTTCGTTACGCAGCAACTTCGATGTGATACCAACGGCGTACTATAGTTTAATTGTCATTTCTTTATGCGTTCTCACAAGATGCTTCTAAACTAGAATTGTTTTTATTTTATCGTCGCTTTCGTTTTCAAGATTGGAACATGTTTCAAGAAGGTACTGTTACATACAAACTACAGCGCTAAGATTTAGGATAAGAATTAAATTAGGATAGCAAATAAATATATTACTATTACTTATAATTTTTGAAGGTGGTTAATATTAATTCACAAAGATTTAAACAAACAATTATATATAGTAGTGCCTCTTTTTTACTCAAAAGTGAACCCACTTTTCTATAAAATGATAGCATTTGGAGTTTAGTACACTTAAACCACTGCCTTTCTTAAGACTTTTATTATTCTGTCAACATTTTGAACGTTTGTTGATTTAAGACTAATTTGAAATACTGCTACAATAAGATTGTAACAGCGTATTTTCAACAGAACGTGCCGGCTCTCACGGACGATCAAATTACGTTTGCCCGAAAATAATCTTGTTGAATATTAAATGAAGACACCATGTCTGCCTGCGTTTGGAAAACAGCATTACCTGCTCACAGCCTTATTGGGTCTCGTTGTAGTAGGGTTTCGCACGTGGTTTTACAAGAACAAAAGTAGCAGACGTAATGATAATACGCCAAGTAAGTGGTATTTTGAGTGCTACGGATTACTATTTGTTCCCTCTAAGGCGGGCTCGATTTAGAGAGTGAGAGAGATTGCTTTTGACATCACTGCTTGTACGGTTGGGGTGAATTTATTTTTCGTAAGGGAGATAAATTGTTTGTTCCTTTAAGTAAAAAAATGGTGTGTGGTTTTTTTTTTTGTGGTAGTATAATTTGATTCGAGCAGGAAATGTTTGTGGGGTAGTTTTACTGTGGTGTGAAAGCAATTTAGAGGGAACATTGCTCGTTGTGTGTACGAGTGTTTATTACGTGTGTGGCGAAGCGCAAACCAGAATTGTGTGAAGTGTATGTGTGTGTGTGCAGAAGCTGCCATGGCAAGATCACAGTGCTGCGACGCTCCGCCGCCGAAGCGCTCCAAGCGCCTGCAGGAGAAGTGCTCGTCGCCGCGCGGGGGCGGGCCGCCGCCCACGCCCGTGCCTCGCCCGCCGCCCTCGGCGCCGGTGTCTCGGCGCACGCCGTGCGAGGCACCGCCCACGCCGCCGCCGACCGCCGCCCGCCACCGCCACCTCGGCGTCGGAGACGGCGGCCCGTCGTCGTCCCCGCCGTCGACGTCGGTGGCGGCGGCGGCCGGCGCCACGTCGCGCGCCAACATCGGCGCCCTGCCGCCCGAAGTGCTGCTCGAGATCTTCTCCTACTTCAACGTGCAGCAGCTGGAAAGCAGCGTGTCGCCCGTGTGCCAGCTGTGGCGCGACCTGTCGCGGCGCGCGTTGCCTGCGCCGCGAGCTGGCCCTGGAGGGCGCGTGCGTGGACACGGCGGCGGCGTGCGAGCTGCTGCGCGGCTGCCCCAACCTCGAGGAGCTTGGTGATCGCCGGCCGGAGGACGACCCGAGCCTGCTGCGCCGCGTGGCAGCGCACAACCACGAGCTGCGCCGGCTGGCCATCAAGCGGTGCAACGGGTCGCCCGTGCGGCCCTACCTCGCCGCGCACATCCTCAACAAGCTGCTGCGGCGCTGCCCGCGCCTCGTCGACCTCACCATCAAGCAGTCCACCTTCCGGAGCAACAAGTTCTTCCGCGACTTGGGGGTCATGCTGCCGGACATCCGCCGCCTCAACCTCAACTTCAGCTCGTCGTTCGGCTCGGACGCGCTCAAGATGATCGCGCTGCACTGCGGCAAGCTGGAGGAGATCCGTGCGTTGCGTAAGCGCACGCCCAACTCGACGGTGCCGCACTGCTGCGACCAGGACATCGTGCTGCTGGCGCAGCGGCTGTGCGGCACGCTCAAGGTGCTCAAGATCGACGGCGCCATGCTGTCGGACGAGGGCGTGTCTGCGCTGGCGCAGTGCGTGCACCTGCGCACGCTGTACGTGCGCCACGCGTACAGCATCACGGATTCGGGCGCGGCGCAGCTGGCGCGGCTGCGCGCGCTCGAGTCGCTCGACCTGACCGGCATGGGCCAGGTGTCGCCCGGCGGGTGGGCGCGGCTGTTCGCCGACAGCTCGTGGGCGCAGATGCGCCGCCTGTCGCTGGCGCTGTGCCTGACGGTCAACGACGACACGCTGCGCCAGGTGGCGCGCGCCTGCCCCAACCTGGTCAAGCTCATCCTGGCCGGGTGCATGCACGTGACGGAGGACGGGCTCACGTCGGTCATCCAGTCGTGCACCAATCTCGAAAGCCTCAACATCTGCCTGGCACACGTGTACGTGTTCAGCAGTTTTGTTTGGATCCCTACCCACACTCCTAATCTGAAGCGGCTAGTGTATCATCCGTACGGGTTAGAGGAGGAAAATTTAATATTAAAGTTTCTCGGTGATACCCTTCCCGATTTGGAGATTATACGTGTGGATCACCCAGTAGAAGGAATAATTCGGGAAATATAAACTTATATGCATAGCAATTGTAATCTTAAAAAAATAGAAACCTTTGCGAAGTGGTCTGGACTACTCAAGAAGCCTTACTTAGTACAGACAGGTTTTGAAAATATACTACAGGCCCGTATTCTTATAATAAAGAAAACATTATTTTTATTGTATAAACAGTTATATGTAAAATAACGTTATTTAATTAACAATTTTCATATTGTCTTTGAGATATTTGCGTAAATAAATTGCGGAAATATATTATGTGTAACTTACTTTATAGATACTATAATGTAACTAAGTAAACGAATATCGTTAATATTAATTACATGTAAATAAGTTATTTTCTTTGTCTTTTTTTCAATTTAGAAATTAGTCAATCCATGATGAACTGCCTGCAACAGAAAGATCTCAACCAAGTCGTTGCAATTGCTGTTCCAGATAATGAATATTTTCACAGTCCATATTTATGCTGTTGTGCCCCAGGTGAAAGGAAAACACGTCGTAACATTACTTACACCATGATTGTAGTTCTGTATTTCTTTTATAACAGCAATATCATTACAAAAGGAAAACCCAAAAAGTCTGGCTCAGTATCTGGCTACATGGACAAAATATTTCATGCAATGAAATTTTGTTACTTCTGTTTGATGTAGCATCTGCATAGCATGCAAACATTCTCGCGTATGTTTCTCATATTTGCTGGCTCTAAAGTCTAACTCTCAAACCTATTTATATCCCGTTGATTTACATTGCCCTTGCATCTAGCTCATATATTTTATTGCTAAGCATTAATTCATATTCATTTTGTTGATACACAATAATTCACAATTATGTAATGTCATTTTCATTGAAATAAGGAAATAAATATGTTGAAAGTTCGTTTTTGTAGACTGAATTTTGTTTGCTTTGGAAAACAATACCACTGTTAGGCAATATTCACTTCTTACGTTACATTTGAAATCGGACCCATGGTAAGATTTCATGATTATGAAATACTATCTCTAAATAATAAAGAATAAAAGTATCACTTTTTACTTCCTCGCAGGTTACTTACGTAGTATAATGTAATTTTGCTACGGAAAACTGCAATTTTTTTACACAGAAAAAATCGAACTCTGGATCATTGATACCGAAACAATGGATAATTACCTTTCTCTAATACATTCCATGTTTTGTAGATCTTTGATAATAAAAAATTAATTTTCGGCAAAAACGTGGACAACGCAAGCGATTAAATTATAGACAGATTTTTCATCAGTATTAATCTCCGACTGATTGGCTTAAGGTTTGGACCCTTGAATTCGAAGCATATTTTGATTTTTAGGGATACTTATGAATCCCAAAGAGATTTTCTCAAAAATTTCTATTTATTTCCTCAAATAAAAAAGTATCCCATAAAAATGTCGGTGATCTGTTTTTCGTTCAATACTCGAAGTTTGCAAAAGTTCACTTCTTTCGGTGTTGCAACGGGCTTTTCGATGCTTGTTCCTACAACTGCAATGTTGAAGGCAGATTTTTTTCTAATTCGCACAGTTCAGAAATAAATTTTAAATAATATCCTGTACATTTTTTAATTACGATTAGTTCTCTCATAATTTTCCGTGAAAAAAGACAATTTTCAATTTTTTCTTAAATCCTAGTTTATTATTTACTGATAGTACGCTTATTAAAAGTCTGAATCCAATTTTTGTTGAAGTCGCTGAAGTTTTGAAAACTGGAAAAGTTGCAAACAGGGCAAGAAATAAAATACTGTTGAAGCACCATTAATTTTCTTTAAAGAATGAAGATTTGGAAGGAATTGCTCCGTGGCGTAGGTAAAGATCACGGTGCGGTGTACCCTGAGTGACAAGAATTAAAATACTTTAATTTTTAAATTACATAATGCGAATGTTTTATTCAAAAATCACTAATGCCAATTTTAACAGTTTTATTAATTATTTAATACTTGCGTAGAGACTTAGTGTGGCGGGAAAGCGATAATTGGCATGTTAGTGAGTACAAATTAATGGAATATGAGGTCAGGGTAGAAAAAGGGGACTTATAAAGTGCAAGACCATACTGGAAAAGACGAGTGTCGATGGGCAAATAAAGGTAACTATATCTGAACAGTATAGAGAAAGTTCTGCATCAAAGTCAGTAGAAAAGTGTGCACACTTTGAGGTTCTACTTGTACGTCAAATCTCCCAACAGTGAAGTCAAGACCGTAGTTTTAGCACTCAAGTTCATCTCTTTCGTACATAAAATCGTTACCAACTTCCCATCTTGACATTAAACATTTGCACCGGCCACAGATCGTATTCACATTTGCACATCGCAAGCGAAAACCCAGGTGCGGAAACGGTCACTAGTTACGGAGGCGTCGAGGACCAATATGAAGTATTCTCCGATTTGAACAGTGACACTTCAAATTCCCAAGCTGAAAGGAGAGGGGGAAATTGCCATCCAGTTAGGACCTCCAATACCAAAAATTAAAGTCATATCGAAGTTCCCGATTGTATGACCGTCTACCCTTCTAGTGACCTTAAGTGCCACCGTGTTTAAATGGGAATATACAAGACCAACTGACCCAGAGCTACAGAAGCGGGCGAAGATACTTGAGTGAAGTCGACGCCGTGGCGAACAAAATCCTGGAAATCAGGCGCGGATCCACGCTGAAGGAAATATTCCCCACCCCTATAATTTTTTTCAATATCTATTAAATTTTAACTTGTCTCGAAACTTTCAAGCAAAAATATTTTCGGATAATCATTAAAGCGAATAAAATCGTTTTGCATTGTGAGCTAGTGTAACCTACGACATTTTACAGAATATGTAATATGACACCTTCCACCAAAACATTTTGAATTTTCCCTGCCAAAATTCGTCTCAGAATCCGCCCCTGACTATAAATAGTATTCAGTGCAGTGATATGTTGTGTGCATGTGTAAGTGAATGTATGAATAGAGTGAGTGTGAATGGGAATATATATGAGTAAAAAAGAAGAAAGAGAAGAAAAATGAATAATCGAAACATCTTACAGGTATCTATTAAAATTTATATTAACTAATAATTGCCCAAAGTTGCCACGCAAATTAGTTTAAATCTACAGTGCAATGAGTGTACGTCTCCATGAAATTCTTTCTTTATAGACCTCATTGATGGTTGGTTGCGTGTGAGAGCCGCAAAACCCATTAACACTACTGAAAATATGTAGGAGAGGATTTAGTGGGCCTAGTGAGACGGGGCCAAAACAGACAACACGAAATACCCCAACAAAGAATATTGTTTAAAGTAGATATTTTGTATCACGAATAAGTGCTCTCCCTCGTACATTCTAGATCAGGGTTGTCCAACTAACAGACCGCCATACCATTTATTACGGCCCGCGAAAAGTTATTGTTGAAAAGTGAAAGTCATATCGGGCGAGTTGAACACATTGTGTGCCTAGCGCACGCATCCTACCGAGATTAACACCCCTTCTAATGTAAAAATAGGTTAATTTGAGATTTATGATTGATTATTATGATAAATTCAAACATTAAAAATCATTCCAATGCGTTTCACTCTATCATACAAGGTTCGGCCTGATATCACGCATGATTATTCCCCCTCCCGTTTCAGGGCAGCAGGGCAAACTGCCGAGATCAACAATACTGGGAAGTTGAAAATAAGGGGTGTTGAAAATATGGCCCACAACCATGTTAAATATGTTAGTTGTGGCCCTTGAGGTCTTGCACGTTGGACACCACTGTTCTAAATCAAGAGAGATTGCCGTGGAGACGGGGAGGAGAGTAGATGTACCATCTAACTACACAAGCTACTTTCCAGTCATCTTCCAAGCAGCAAACTCAAATCATCAATCTCATGAATAAAGTTAGAAGATAAATTAAATTTAATGTAGTGCCTAATTTAATAATCACAACTGAATTCTGGTTTATGATGTTAATGCGTTTTAAACATTTTTGTCCATACTCACAACTTTTTCTCGTGCGGTTCTTAATTATACCCCTCAAAATTCCGAGTTCTGATGCAACAAACAAAAGCATTGCCACGCTCAAGAAAGAGATTATGTCTATTGTCAAGCCACAAAGGAGGAGCTGCCCATCGTACCCGCTACAGTCACCTAGAAGCAGAAGCGCTCTGGATAGCCAGAGGAAGTGCGGTAGTTTTGTTGGTCCGCTCTCGTTTTCTGCTGCTGTGCGAAAACGGAGTGCGGTCCAAGTTCGCACTGTGTTGCAGCAACTGGCTGGAGGTAGGCAGACAGCCAACACCAACTCCCGTTGACAGCCGTTTATTCCAAAACGAGCACAGAAAGATCTGGTAACAGCTTACAACTAATTGTGCACCTTTGCTTATATAGTCCCGCTGCCAAGGAAGGTGCAGCTTTCACTTATAGCTATTAGTAAGCTCTTTCTTGGTGGATTAAATATTGTCGTACAAATTTGAAAGAAATGGAAATGGACGACGATTTCCAATATTATATGGAATTTTATAGTGGCATCGCACAATGTAGCAAGCAACAAGCGGTATTTACGTGACATGCAAAACCAGTTGGAATTGCACAATGATCACGAATTCAAGAAAAGATACCGTTTTCATAATTCTCTTTCATTTCATGTAGGACCATTATTTACGAAAAATGGATGGCTATTGAGTTATTTTTTTTAAAAAAAGGTGTGCGAATTTTTTACATTAAAATGCTTGTTGGCAAACCTGATACCCTGGCAAACCTGATATCAATTTGGTTCTATGGGACTCAGCTTTTGTACTACAATGTGCACAACGACGTAATACTCCTTAAATTGGCATGTGTTCTGCCAACACCACCTAGATATACAGTATCTTGGTGGTGTTGGTTCTGCCGCAGATGCTTCTGAACCTATATCTTTCGTAATTGCTTCTAAAACACTGACAAGTAGACCGTAACATCTTCAAACTTCCACGAACTCATAATGCCTAAAACAAATAACTACGCTACAAGCAATAAATATTAAATTGATAAAAGTACGCAATGGTCCAGTGGTCGAAATCACACGTAAAACTACTAGTTTTCTTGTGCAGCATTGACACATTTTCATTTAACAATTTGACAGAATAAATCCGTTTATAACAAGAAGGCTTTCATGACAGCAATGCATATCTTCTGTCAATATGAATATAGGAACCTTATTATTATATTAGAATGTAATGACTGAAGTCTCCAATTTGTTTAATATGAATTTTAATAGGGTTTGTATGGCTTTTTACTTTGATTCTTTAAAGTGGCCGGTGATAGTTTCACCTCCTTACTTATAAAATAATTTTAATTCGCGAACGTTCTTCTCAATGTGACTCGGAAGCTCAGAAATGTGCCTATCACAATTAAAAAGATTCAATTTATTAGGCAGGAGGTGAAACAATGACCTAATATTATCGGTCACTTAAAAAAAATCGAAGTATAGATGACGAGTCAGAATTAAATTGGGACGTAAAACACTCTCTGATTGGGACCGCGTGGGCTTTTAAAGAACGTATCGTTCATGTCGTTCGTGAACGAACGAACTCGCTGGAATATGAGGTTGGCGTGAGTTACTTTTGGTTATGTGTCTTCTGAAATTTATTTGGACTCTGTCAAAATCTGTTGTGATAACAGTATGAATGTTATGACTCGTCTTTTGAACTCATTACCAGCATACTGGGAGTACGTCAAGACTTATATATTGCCTTCATCTCGCGAAGAATCGGAAGATGGTTTTGAAGAACCACCTTCAAAAAGGAGGTGATGTTCTAGTCTAGGGAGTAGCTGTACGGATTTCGTGCTAATATGTCTAAGGCTTCGTGCTAATATGTAATAAGGCTGAGTCCGTGCTGAGTGTTGAGATTTGGAATATACAATATATTTGACACTATTAACCTCTTGAAGTTGTTTTCGTACGATCGAGTGTGACAGTCGTGCAATTGTTTACATTCTGTAATCCCGTTGCACTGTATCTTTGCATGGTGGATGGTCGTTACAGACTGGCGCCAAAATGAGTATTCGTAAAATGTTAGTGAAAGATGCTTTGAAGCTTCTGGATGATGACCCACGTGTGAAAACTCTTTACAGGTTACTAACAAAGGAATATTATTTTAATTATTTATAAGGAATGTTGTGCGCTAAGATAAGGGCATGGAATGCGATAGTAATTGTTCTCTTGGTCACTTCAAATACGCATTAAAATGTGTAACATGGCGTGTTATTACACCCTCGTCGAGTAGTATATATTACATTTCGCATGCCAAAGTGCCTTATTGAAAAAAAAATAATTATTTTCAGACGTGTGGATGCTGATAGCCTTTTGCTTGGAATACCAGAACCAGAAAAAATTGATAGAGCTAGACATCGGATGTACCATTTGTACAATGAATCTGCTTGTGGTAAATTGTATTTCTTTATTGTATTGTAGATATCTTACCTGAAAGATTTTATTGTGCATATTATGTTTAATTTTTTCAGATCCAATTTTTCCCTCGGAAACTGTGTGCCGTAAACCGAAGAGGAAATTAAGATTGGTATAAAATATTTACTTTTATTACATTATTTGAGCTTTGTGTTAATATAATTCATAACTTTTTTATGCTTATTGTGTCATTTTTCATGGAAATGATGAGTGTGTAGCTAATTTTTAAAAGCTTAAATGTTTTTTAATGTGTGATTTTTCCTTAGGCATATAATTCGTATTCTAAACTTGTGTGATCATTAAATGTCTTCATTGAGGTTTTAATCTGGAGTTTCCATTACTTCATTGTTAGATGGTAGAAAGAACCACAAATATTGGTATATTCTTTCCCGAATTTGTTGTATGTTTGTAAAATAAAATCCCTGACACTTGCAAACGCATAGATTGTTTATTTTCTTATTTTTCTCAATCTTGCTTTAGCTTTTTAAATACATAATTTTATGTACCTTCTTGATATGGTAAATATTGGACAAAACGACCAACTACAAAATGTATTTGTTTAATAATCTTAATAACTTTCAGGAATCACCTGTGGGTGAATCTATGACTGTTAATGGAAGAAACTTTTCGGATAATGAAAAAGAAAATATTGAAAGGAGATTATCTGATAATGAAAAAGAAAATATAATTGAAAAGAAATTGTCAGATAATGAAAAAGAGGAAAAAGAAAATGTATCTGATGCCCCAGATCGAAGTGAAGATGAAGCCAGTACGAAAGTAAGAAATGGGTTTACTTTGTGTTTCTATGAGGTACTTTTGAGCAAATAAGGGTTAAAATTTGAATTTTTTCAGGATGAAAAGCAATCAAGGAAGCCAGATCTGAAAGTTATAGACCTTATGTCCCAGGAAGTAAGTTCATGATTTTGTAAGACTATTTCTGTAGAATGAATGATTTTTATTGAATACTAGTAGACCTGGCAATGCTTAGCCATTGCAGTTTTGCAGTTTAACACTTCTTGTGATTGTTAAGTGTTTTACGCTAGGCTCAGCAAAAATTATAATAGATGAAAGACTATCTCTAGAGTATGGGTTTGTTCTATTCCCTGGTTTCGATATGGTTATCAAGTATCCTATTGTTAAGTCCTCTCTAAAATTGGGGCATGCGTTTGTTAGGACGCTGTTGTGCAGAAATTTATTTTACTTATCCGGGGTAATGTTCCGATATTTCACAATCACAAGGACGTATTGGGCAGTGATGGACGTGTTTCATACCTAATGATGTAGCGGGTTTGTTAGAGCTACTGTTCAGGGACACTCGAGTCATCAACGACGTAAATCGTCTGCTCATCGAATTTAATTCAAGCCACTTTAAACACTAATAATACTAATAAGAACAAAATGCGAAAATTACAGAAAAATCAGTGAAGTAGTTTTTACGTCTACGTGCAACAGAATTGTAGATTGCACATTCTTTTATTTATTTATAGATTTTGGAATATAAAGCAAAATTATATATGTTCTTATTCATTTTTATATTTAGTGTTTGATGTAGATTCTAGGTGGAATGAATGTGACATGAATTTTTCCTTGAATGTGGTACAAAATAATGGTAGATTTTTGAGAAGTTGTTTTATATTATCACTAATGTATGAATGTAATTTTTTAATTAAATTGTGTACATTATACATTTTTGAATACTTATGGCATAACTTGTCCGCATCATACATTGTTAGGCCCCCTTACAGTCAACCAATTGCACCAGATGAAGGTTCATTGAATGCGTCTTGGGTTCTGGTGAGAAATATTTTTTTTTCTTTTGGTGTGTGTATCTGCCCAGATGATTCTAAACAATGTCTCTATGAAACTTTTTTTTGAGCAAGGTTTCTCTTGACAAAAGTAATAGTGGTACAATTCTTAACCGGTTTCTTTTAGGATATTGTGGACGAATTCTAGAAAAAGTGTTTTTGATGTTTTCTTTGCACCTATGAGAACATTGGCGAAACACTAAATTACTACTCACTTCTGGCATTTGCAAGAATTGTTATGACTTATGAATTGTCCGATTGACAATAGTTTAACCTAATTTTGTATAGAAACAAAATATTAAACAATTATTTTAATGTACACTTCATGTAAATTTCTATATCTGAAAATGGGCAAGTTAGGCAACTGTAATATGTTTAGTATTTATTTTTATTGTGAATTTTCTAACGTCCAAATAAAACTTTTAAACATGAAAATTGAGAATGGAAGTGCCATGAAAATTGAGACGAGGTAATGTTAAAATATTTGTATTGATTTTTAAGAATGAAAGTGGAATAAGAAAAGGAGATTCCTCTCCATCAGGTTGTTGTAAATGTAATAGAATAGTCCTCTTCAGTAGTGAAATAACTTAGATGCGAGCCATATTGTGTTTCCAGTTTATGAAGACGTCTGTAGTAATAGTTACATGGGAAGCAGTTTGCATGGTAGGGTTTCCAGACAGCAGTTTAGCAAAAAGAGGGCACTCAGAAAGACACATTGTTGAAAGGAAAGTTGTAGAGTCCTGTAATTATTAATTTTATCTTGAATTCTTCACTTCCACGTAATTATTACCAATTGAAGGGTTCAGTAGAACAAGGGGCTATCCCACATTGTCATAGTTCTGAGATAATGAAGGTTTTATCTAAACTTCCCTCAAATAAGTGTACATTTTAAAACTTTTAAAACACAGTACACTTGCATATAAATCCGTATTGGATTTAAATAACATATTACACTAAAGTAATAATAATAATTGAAGTTTTGTATAATGCTAATAACTCAACTTCACAAAAAATGTGATCTGTATTATTACAAATACTTTTCTTTGAAACATTTTCAGCTAGCAAATCTGGTTTATAAATCAAGGAAGAATAGAAATATTAACAGATAACAATGAACAAGGGTTAAGATTATATTTTACAATGAAAATGACATTCATAGGGTCTATGTATAGTACTTCTTCTTACATTATTAATTATTACATGTATTCATTTGCATTAAAAAATAATCACTTTGTCATTATGAGATGGGTGTGCAAAAATGAACCGCGGCAGCGATGGTGTAACGGTTAGCGTACTGGACTGTTGTACCCAAGTTGGCGGGTTCAAACCCGATCGAAGCCATGGATTTTTAAGGGTGAAAAAATCCTTCGTACTCCTTCCTTCGGAGGGGAAGTAAAGCCGGCTGTCCCATGTTCGTAGATTTACTTGCATGTAAAAGATCCTCAAGCCTAAATGACGCCTCTAGGCTAAATTCAAAATCGCCTGTTTCTCGCTTAAAAAATACCTCCTTTCTCTCCTAGTTGGTGAAAGGAGCGTAGCGAAATTTGCGTGGTCAGACGGAAGAGCGGGCCTGATTGCCCGAGTCTCGCCACGTAAAATAAGGCAAATTCAATTCAATTCAACTATGCCATTATTACCAATTCTGAATGAATCTCTAGATCAACATTTTGTTTAAAGTATTCTTTCGGTGTTTGTAGTTGTAAATTCTTTCAAATTACAAAATTGATTAAATGATAAGTAATTATTTAGCTATATATTCTCATCAAGGTATTGTATGTTATTCCACATTATTCCATGACAATTATTATGTTAGCCTTGTGTAAATTAAAAAAAAATAAGTTTGGTTTTATTTTTCAAATAACATTCTCATTTGGTTAATAAAACATTTAGATTTCTTTGAAATGAGGCCTAATATGTGAATATCTTGACATTGTTAGGCACACTTATAAATTGTAATGGATTAAACTTTTGTGTTGTATTTGACAACATGACTGTCCACAAGAAAAGTGGCACATTTCTAGAATTATCATTTGAGAGTTTAAGCAAAGAAATATGTGTAGAAAATGTATGTAGAGAATTGTGTAGAAATATGTGTAGGTGTTTTCTATAAAAAAATTATAATATGTTCCTAAACACATTTTGTTAGGGTATGAAATACATGGCACTACACAGGATAAAACCGTTTTCCTTCAGGAGGATAATTTTTACGAAGTACCACTGTTTGTATATACTGATGACATAAGATTATTCTAATGGATGTGAATATCTGATCATGTTGTGCTTGCATAAAAATAGTTATGGATACTACCATATTAAAGTAATCAACAGCATGTGACTTTTCAGCAGCTGTGTAGTGGAATGTGTTTGGCAGGGTATGATACTTTTTTTGTTGGGGATGGTATTTTGGGGTAAGATTTTAACAATTTTTACTGCAAAGCAAGTCAATTTTATTCATTTAGGCAATGTGCCTTATTCAGTTTGTTGAAGGAAATCTCCCTCTAACTACAAAAGAGACTTCGAAGCTGCAAACCTGTTCACCTTCTTTTTTGTTTCTTTCTACTTCTGTTTTCTCTGTCTGTTGTTGATGAAGATTCACAGTTAACCCACTAGGTAGCTGCTGGACTGCTATAAAACATTGTAGTTTTGTAGAGTAAGCGTGAAGCCTAGTAACTATTAATTTTTCAAAATAAATAATCTTTTTACATAGTCATTATTGCTTATTCCAAAATCGCATAGATTTCCAGAGTTCGAGTGAGCAGATGGTTACTTCCTATCATCAAATTTGCATACAGATTGATAAATAAGACTCGGAAGTTAATGCTGTATCAAAAGGCATGCAAATATGCTCTAACATTTATAAAATATGCGCTGAAACTAATGAAATATATTACAATATTTATGTTTTATGTTTTCATGAAAAATTACAAAATTTAATTTCATCAATTAATTTTGCATTTTTGTCTCCACTTAGTATTTTAGCGATTCTTTTAAAGTAAAATATAATGGTTGTGTTTGTGTCATCGTTGATTTCAGACAGATTCTTTATCAAAGATAAATTATCGTCTTGTTCATAATCAAAAGAATTGTTTCTGGGAGCCAGCACCATGATGTCATTTAAAAGAAGTTTTGACAAATACTGCTGAAATGGACGAAAGACATTCCCATGATTTCTCATGAATAGTATTTGCATTCACTTTTGTGAAATAATCTTTTAGGTTTGAAGAGACACATATGCATGTTAATTAAACTTCCAAGAGAAATGCCAAATTAAGAACAAAAAGCAATAAAATATTAATAATAACTCATATAAATGGAAATGTATTAACACAAAATGTATTAAATATTCACTTATATGCCATATAAAATGACTGAATTTCTGTTCATTTGATTGTGTTTCGTGGACATTGGATAATTAGCATATAATAAAGCTCATTATTAAAAATATAATTTTTCATAAACTTTCAGGCCTTACTGATAAAAAATTTTGTTCCATGCTTAACTGATATGCCTCGTGTGTCTGCCAGCCTAAGGCTTTGTATGAAGTGCTGCAGCAGCCAGGTTGCCTCATGTCATACCAAATTGCAGCATGTGGATGACCTGGCCATTTTGACTAGTCTCTCTGAATACCTGGAACAAACAATACAAATATTCCTTCTTTGAAATAAAAGAAGATAATATTGATTGTGTAGATCTGTCCCCCAGAGGAGTTACTTAATCAGTTTTTAAAATTTTTTTCAGTTGAAAAGTGTTCCTGAGGAACGTGGAACTTGGTTTGACGCGGCATCAACTTGCCGAGTATTTACATCTAGTGATACAAAAAATGATAAAGAAAATGATGCCCAACAATTGAAATCTAATGCTCCAAGCTTCTTGGAGAAACGAAATTGTAAGTAGTGGTTTTAAAATATTCTCTTACTTCCCAGATTATTACAAAGTAATACAATATTTCATTTTTGACATAAATACTCATCTTTTATTCTTCTAAAAAAGAAAATAGTCATTTGAAAGAAAGAATAAGATTTTTCAGTCTTAGGGTAAAATTGTTAGGTACTTATTGTTTATTTTACAATAATAAATTGTTAATATTCAAGTGTCTGTTCTTGTAACTACTGAAACAGATCTTTTAACTATTGTGGTATTTATATAATATTTGGTCTATATTTGGAATGAATATTGTATTATATTTAATATTCTTAACTTGATATTTATCTATTGTCAAATGTAAATATTATTCTTTTATAGCCTGACGAGGATTAAATGATCCTTGAAACAGTTGCCTAAAAAAATATTACTAAATGCAAATTTATTGTCTTATATAAATACCACAATAGTTAAAAGGTCTGTTCAAGACTAAAAGGCCAAATAGATCAATTAAATGTTTATTTTTATATATATATATATATATATATATATATATATATATATATATATATATATATATATGAAGTTAATTTGACTATGAATGCATCTTTTCTGTGCAGTTCCTACAAGTTTGCCACCTGAATTTCGAGCCAAGATGTTTAATACTACTACAAAACCACTTTCAAGACCGGAAATGAGTGGAGGAGGTGGTACATCGTCTCTAAAGAGACCGAATAGCAATTCTCTCAGCTCTCTTTGTAGCAGTCAATCATCACCAGGTGGGAGAAAACTTCAGTTGTTAGACCAGGTGAGGAACAAATATAATGAATAGGCTATTTTGGTACATGTAACAGTTTTTCAGAGTATGTGTGCTGAGTAGAATCTCAGTTAAGTGTCTGTTGTCGATTTTGTAGGGGAAAGGGGAAGATAAAAAATGAACCAAATGTTAATTTGGGTAAGACTTTTGTGTCACAGTATATATGTTAAATTAAATTTATAATTATTGTTATGAATGTTCAAATTAATAAAATCTGTTTATTTATTTCATTTAAATTATAGAATTGAAATATGTATAACATTCCACCAAATTTTTCATGAACTTTTTGTTGCAACTCGTGTTGTGGGAAGGGGGAAGGTTTGATGTAGAACATTGTAGAAATTTTTTTGTCGATACATTTTTTATGTGCATTTTATAGACACATTACATTTTCTTATCAATACAACTCTCATCCTATTGGGGGTTTGGAACTACCAATCTTTCTCAACTTTTTGAAACTTGTGGATGCTTTTTTTAAGAGCAATGATGGAAATTTTCAGTGGAGAACCACTGGTTTAGATGTGTTAATGTACTTCATTCTACTACCAAAGATTTGTAATGCAAGAATTGCACTACATTCACTTATCATAGCTGATCTAGAGACACTGAAATAATAAGTAGTGGAGCTTTATGCTGCTCTCAAGTCATCAAAAAGGCTCTTGATGTTGTTCATAAGCCTTTATCTTCACATATTTTCAGCCTGGAGAAGGAATTAATTTCCTTTTTTCTTTAAAAATTAATTTGTATCAATCGTGGTATTAATGAAGACACAGCTTACTGAGGATGTGAGTAAATAAAAAGATGTTACGTCTTCCCACCATTTCAATCCTGTGGAAAATCTCACGGGGAAAATTAAACTGACACTATGAAGTTCTCGCTACAGAGTAGAGAGAAAGTTATGTAATGCTGCGTGAAAAAATGTGAAATTGCTGCAGAAAAAACCCTTATTACAGGGCCCTGGTAACTAAAAAGTGGTTAAATGCAGTTGCTAAATTTAGGAGGAAATCCTCTAACGCTTGGTGTTAGCCAGAATCCATGTTTTGTGGGTCCTTGACACCGAAAAATTAAATGGTGGCAAAACTTCGGTCCATCCGTCTGTGAAAAATGCTAGCGACTAAACCATTCAGCCGATTTTCTCCAAAATTGATATTCTCCATTTTTCCCCATAACGAAATCTGTTCCTCAAAGATAAGGATTGTGGAATAAGGTCATGTACAATTTTTCAAAAATTTTGAATGTTTTTAATGTAATTTTGCATGATAATATGGGTGAAAAAATTGGTTTTATTTACAATGTAAATCCTGATCTGAACCATTGTGAAGATATTGATAATCTAAATTTTACCTGATCTTGCATTCCTCACACTTCAAATGCTATGAAAGAAATGAGCTTTGGTAGTTTGAAAAGTGGTGGTTTCCTGCCATTCAAGGCTAGCAGATATGTTGTACTCAGAAATAAGTACAGACTTGCAAACCTGGGTATTGAGGTAAAGAAAGATTTTCACCTCACCCCTGCCCAACAATACTTTTTGCAACATCAGAGGAACAAACTCGATCATAGAGAGAAGGGAGACCTAAATATTAAATGTTTCAGTTGGATCCCAAATATTATCAAATCCTCAAATCAATATTAAAACAAACAGAATAGAAAACTACTCAGGGATATTCCTTATTTTGAATACATCTAAAAATTTATTGCTAGAATGTTCATGGTCTGAGAACCAATATGATTTGCTCAAAATGCTACCTTCTGCCAATAAATATGGTATAATTTTTGAGACCTGACAATGATTCCCACTCAATGAACCTAATGATCTATGATTCCAGTACCTAATTGTAAGGTACCTTAGGTACCTAATTGAAATAAAAAAATATTTTTGTGTGCTGTACTAGTGTCACCACATTTTCTAATACTGCTTTTTTGACTTCGTTACTATTACTAGTACATTTTCTTGAATCCTGATTTTTAAATTCATTGTAAGACAATTTTATCAAGAATGCTACCCTTCATCTAAATGATTTCTTGAAAAATGTAAATATGCTCTGTGATACACTCTCGATATTATTTAATCTATTGTTGGGGTCTCACTTGGACAAATTTTCCCGAATTTGAAATTCATAAGCAATATATTTTATATTTCTAACAGAAACATTGTTTTCCAGAGTATTCGACTTGATGAAAGAGAAAAATATTCAGAATTACTTCAGACTTATACAAGAGTTCCAGTTATGAAACATCCCATTTTTCAAGCTAGGTAATCTGTTTGAGGAAATGACAGGCATGCATTTATTTTGGTTATTTATGTGGTTTTATACAATATCTAATTTTTTTTATTTGTATTTCCAGGCGTGCAAAGTCACCACCTGTGTCATTTGCTTCTCATACAAGGAAACGATATGGTAATAAAGTAGAAGTTATAGACTTGACTTCACAAACAGAAAGTAAAGATGAATTTAAGAAGTTGGGTGCCTTATCGGAAAAATTAGGTGAGACTAATGCTATTTTTCCACTTAAGTCTATAACTTTTTAAATCCATAACTTAGTTTATTTTCACAGAAAATGATTGATGAAAAAAATGCAAATAACCAGATACTTGATTAAAAACAAAAACAAAAGGGGTTGCTATTTCCATTAAAATGCCACATGTAAACATTTTTTAAAATTCTCTTAATTGGTGACTAGAGCAAAGATTCAGGAGCAAAATCTAGTAACCATAAAACCAATAAATTCGAAACTGGTTTTATCACATAATTGGCATGTGTACTCTAGTTGTAATTTTTGCTATTACATACTGGTTATTCTAGCAGATACCCCGTGAAGGGTTACATTGGGTTTAAAAGCACTAATCATGTCGGCAATAAATAGTGGCCATTTAATCGGTCTGCAGTCAAACGTGTAGATTATTTTGGGTATGTGAATTAAAAGTGCAAGTAGTATTAGATGCATATTATTTTGAATTTTCAATCTCTTTTTTGAGGATAACCTTACTTCCAATGTCTTTTCTTCAAAATATCAAAATGCTACATAAAATTTCAATATTTCTATTTGATTTTACAGTGGGTAAGGTTAACATGTATACCTTCTTGTCTAGGACTCTGGAGATGAAGCTCAATGAAGATGAGGTTTAGTCATTAAAAAAAGTTACACAAATACTTATGTAAGGGTTATTGTCAGGTATTGATTTTTGTTCCAAAATTAATTCTTTTATTTACCTGTGTAAACGATCTTTTAAAAAATGATTGTACTAATACAAGGGTGTTTTGTTTGCATTTTAATTTCTAAGGTTTAAGCTAATTTAGAAAAAAGTTTTATGCCACATGGAGAATTTTTATTTTAGTTGCAAAAATGTATTTAAAAAGTTTAATCTCATATTTTTTTTTATTATTTAAGCGCATTCCTCACCAATTTTTAGCAAAATTCATTATTAGTAGTTGTAAATGCTACCGGCGCTAAAAGCATGCATTTGAAGGATAAAGGGACGAAGGCTGATGGGATCATGATGGATTTCATTGGAGCAGTCATAAATGCTTTCATTGATAATTTTCTTAATAAAAGAAATAAAGTTACCAAAGTATGACTTTTGGTCACTTGGAAAAAATTTTATATTTCGTTGTTGAAAAATATAGTTTGGCTCCCACGTAACTGAAGTGCCTAACTCATTCAAATATGAAATAATGTAATTTGGACATTTTGTTCTTGAGCTGACGAGTGACAAAAAACAAAATTAAATATTTGTCAAGGTATATATCTGAATATAATATTCTTACTTTTTTGACAGGTGGTAAATCAGCTGGGTATATAGAACCTCTTCCAAGCAGTGAATTAAAAAAGAAATTAGACAAATGCAATGTTTATGATGTGTCTTGGATAGAAGAAATGTAAGTGAATTATCATCTAAGACATGTAACATATTTCTCTCTCTCTCGTTCTCAATGTTTTGAGAATAACGTGAATAATGATGATTTTCAGAACGAAAATGTACAATAGGAAAGACCGTGAAGTTAAAAGGCGATTACAAGAAGAAAAAGTGAAAGCTGCTCTGTGCAGCAAGAAAAGTGAACAACTGTTGAATGAAATATTAGAAGAAAGGGTGAGAGTACACCTGCGTTTAACGGAAGTAGCTGTTGAAGAAGGACCTGTTCCTCTTGCAGAAGATGAGGAACCTCTACCTGAACTGACTGCTGAAATGGATGTAAGTCAAACTCTCTCCTTTGTGCTTTTCAGTTAGTTGATTATATGCTTTTATTTATTTTATTTTCTCTTCTCTTAGTATTCTCTTCCTGTATTAGTCTTCATATCCGGTTTTCTTTAATTTTTTTTGCCTAAAGATAGGAAGTCTATAAAGAGAAAGCATTGGATATTTTTAAAGGGATCACCTGTATTTTTCATCAGGATTCCTTGTGACAATGCCAGAAACTATCTAACCAAACTTAGCCTAATGTGGCAATTAAAAAAAAATTTTTTTGCTAGAATTAATATGATAAAATCAAATGTGAAATTACCCACAAGACTAAAGGCTCGTAATCCATTTTGATTTTCTAAAATCAAACTTTACAAAACTGTGTCGGTTTATTACAGACAATTTTTCTATTCCATGGCCGCCCTTAACTACAATAATAAACTTTGCAATGTAATATTAGAACTAATCTTTTAACAACTATCAACATCAGAATGTCATTTTTCATGAGACAAATAGTGAAATTTGAATGAAAATTATTGTCCATGAGAATCTTTACAAATTGGATTCAATGTACAGTAGAACCTTGCAAATCGGAACTCTGGAACCCCAGAAATTTCGGATCATTCGGATAAGTTTTGGGATGGAGGAAAAATAAACAAAATAAATAAAATGCTTATTTGTAGTGTAAAGAAAGAATTTTACAATTACTTGAGAACTGAACCACTAATTATCAAAATATAAGTTGGTGTAATGTAACGGTTATTGCACTAGTAACTACGGTGTATATCACAAGTTTATTTGACAGTAATTTTCACTCAGAGGAACTTGCAGATGACAAAATAATTTTGGTTGAATCAGAAGATAAAATCCAAATAGCGACATAAGAACTGAATAAAATAGCAAAGACCTAAGACATGAAAACCTCGACTCCCCCCCCCCCCAAAACAACAACAACAATAACAACAACAACAACAAACAAAAACAATGGCATTCCAAGGATAGGAACTAAGAAGAGTGAAGATGCTCTATTATTTCCCCTTCAATGACTAAGTATCAACATTCTAATTTTTAGTCAATGACATTGGACTAAACTCCCAGGGCCTCCAACACAAAATTTTGAAATTAATATGATAAATGGAATAATTAAAATGTACTTTGGAAGGACATGACGCAAGAAATCAAACTAATAATACACAAGGTTATTATATGGTTCAGAAAACAATCATAAAACAGAGACAACCAAAGGCTAGATGAGGTTCCTAAGACACTTCTTGGCTCTACTAGGCAAAGAAATAGACATAGGGATATAAAGACATAAAGATTTATGGATTATGCAGGAACACCTGGAAAACTGAAGTATTTCAGGTCTACTGCTTAATCAGGAACAGGCCCCCCTGGCATTTCATCATGCAATTCATGATGATAATGAGGATGATCATCAGGAACTTGCAAAATCAGTAATCTTTTGCCATAAGGAACTGAGTCTTTGTGTGATGTGATCGCTATGCTACATTGCCATTTTCTCACATCGCATGCTACGTTGCAGTCTGGTAATCCTATGGATGAACTTGTATTTGTAAGATACATTTTTTTGATGATCTGAACCTTTCCGGATCCAAACAGACTACTCCCCCAATTAATTCAGATTACCGGGGTTCTACTGTATTCTAACATCTTAGTCTCCAATTTCGTATTGTAATAATATGTCTTCCAATACCTTCACCGTGAATAAATGTTTTCATAATTAAATCACTGTACTTATGCCATGAATAAATTCTATCATGTCAAAAGTATAATAAATTTCTATTTCATTTTTTTTTTTTTTAATTCTTTTTTCTTTTTGCCTTCCTCTTTTTCTACATTGGGTGAAAATTGATTTGAATGAATGATTTCTTGAATTGCTGACGGTTAATTTGCTAGACTACTCAAAACCATAACTTGTTCATACCGATAGACGTATTACGTTATAAAATTTTGTTTATTTTGTTTAGTTTAATTTTGTAAATGTAATTGTAATGTAAATGTAAATTTTCATTGCAGTTTCATATTCTCTCAATTTCAAATGTTAAATAATCAGTACATTTACTGGAATTTTGTGTTTTGAATAAGAATTTGAAAACTCATAGTGCCTTTTTTTTAAAACAGAGAATAGTCACAAGTGCATTCAAGAGTGGACCAGGAGGACAAGTTTTAGTTGAAGCATTCAGCCTAAGGATAACACGTCGAGATATACACACCTTGGTGGGAACCAACTGGCTGAATGATGAAGTCATCAACTTCTACATGAATTTGTTGATCGAGAGGGGGAAGCTGGATAACTATCCCAGTGTCTATTGTTTTAACACCTTCTTTTACCCTAAATTAGAATCTCAAGGCCATTCGTCATTGAAGAGATGGACACGGAAGGTAAGTTCTAGGAAATATATCTTTCATGGAATTTTCACTGTGGTAAAACAGTTGATAAAATTTATGACTTATAAGGCAAGTTTTGTTTCCAGTTGTTCTCCAAAAATTGTTGTCTTGTTTTTACACATTAAGAAAAGGATATTAGTACAGTTTGAGATTCTACATGCCCCCAAATATGTAATAGAAGGTCCTAAGAGATCTCATTTGGTAAATTGTGATGCGAGTAACTTAATGTGAGGCGAGTGAATGTGAAAACAGACAAATGCCTAGGATTTGTGTTGCGGATAGTATTAACATCTGTCCAAGTCAGATGCCATTTTTCAACAATTCCATTAAGTTAAATCGCAGTTCATCACCTCCCTGTAATCTTTCAATACCTCCTTTGGTGGTGATAATAAAAAATTAGTGGTGCTACAACAACACATACTTTTCCACAATATCGGAACCAGCAACGTACTATCGAAATATCGCAATTTCTGTTATTTACATCTCGCCTATTACTTAAAATGTCCAATTCAACCAATTCAAAGTGCCTGCGATGCATATTTGCATTCATATTCATAGTCAGGAGCCACAATCATTTCTTACTTTTACAAATGAAACAGGCATAAATTTAACTGTTACAGTATTTGCAGCAAATTATTCAGAAGCCAGTGACGCTTTGTTGCCAGTGTGGCGTTGTCAAAACAAAAATGCAGTTATTTTGCCACATATGCTTGACGAATATTTTCTTATCAATTCTTGGCAAATCCTTTAGTTCCATTTGTATTCAGATTTAAACTTGTTTATGGGTTAGTCATAGTACATCAAACAGACGATTTAGAATCAAACGCAGATGATTTATTTAACTCTAATGCTATTAAATTAATTAAATTACTAATGTTCTATGATTTGTAATATTAAGTTGATTTATTACTTCCCCTTATATATGCACTGTCTCAAGCAAAGCACGAGAAGTTTGAATTCACATTATAAATTTGTTTTCCAATTTTAGAAAATACAGAGGTGGCCAAATCAGGAACCTACTTTCTTTCCCATTCTTTGCTACAAAAGTGAAAAATATTTAAAGAAAAAATTTAGAGCAGTTTCTGAGAAAATAATTAAAATTTAAAAATTCCTGGTATTTGAAGCAAAATTACATTAAAAAATACTCATGGTATACTCCTTAAATATGTGGGATTGGTTTATTTAGAGAAGCGTATAATTTGATCTGTTTGGTTTATTTACAACTTAAAGGTTTGCACCAAATAATACACACTTGTATGAAAGTCACATCACAACATGCACGTCTGTCATATCTGTCTGACTACTGTCCCATTCCTTTGCCACGTGCGCCCTCCTGAGTCTACCACCCCACTTTCTCTGTCCAGAGTATACAAGTTGCACTGCCACATCAACTCATAAATCGCTCATTCCGCATATATTCATCCTGTGTGTTATACACCTAATTGTACGACAAACAGATGGTTTAATGCTACTTTATGGAGAATATGTTGGAATGTAAATTCTATGAATGTATGTATTGCGGCACATAATACTGACTTTGATATCTACACAACTATTTTGTAAACTTAATAGGAAACAAATTTTAAAATGATTTTGTTTAATTACTAATTAGTAGTAATTATTATGTAATTTTGGATTATTGCCTGTAAAGGAGTAAATAACTAAATATGTGCTAAAATTTGAACATGATCTAATTTGAAGATCTGTTTTAATGAACATATTTCATTAAGAAACAAAATTAATCTTCATAATTGTAGTTGTGGGAAGAAAGCAGAAAATTTTGAATTTTGAAAAGACCAGGGATTTCAATGAACCTGATAACAGTACCATTCCTGTAAGCCTTATTCACACTATCCAAGGTCAAAATTTAATGAAAAGAATTGGTGCCATTTTTTGAGAAGAAAAAAATGTTTAAGAAAATTGAGAGTTGCCTATATTTCATACAAAGTACTCAAATGATTGCTGCAGAAAGGCGACAGAAAAAAAACTTGCAATTTTTGAAAAACCATGGATTATAAACGAAAAGGAGACTAACACCAACACCATTTTCTTGCTTTTTTAACAAGAGGGTGTTGACCCCAAAATGGTACATACACTAGATGCACAATGATCTCGTTCGACAAGGATGAAAGGGACTTTCACTAATAACCTCTCGCAGGCCCCGGTAAAAGGCAACACGGGCTGCATGAAGCCTGCAGGTCACCAGTTGCAGAAGGTCTCTTGTCTGTCGGTGGTCAATGCTTGCTAGGACCTAAACCATTCAACTGACAATAAAAATTAAATACAAAAATTTGGACTCATTTTTTTGAAAATGTCCAAGGGGCTATATGTAAAGTAACATCAAAATTAAAATGTCAGTCTTGCTATCGAGTTCAAATAAAATTGCAAATTGTTTTGAAAATTATCTTGTTTGATGAGAATGTTGAAACTTATTGCCTGAGTATCACAATTTTCTTGTTCCTTAAAATCATCAAAATCATTTTTGTCACTAATGCCTTCATCATCACATTCATCACAGTTTCTTTCTTTTTGTTTCTCCCATGCTGCACCCTCCTGACCTTTGAGGTTTCCCTGAAAGATTAATGCATTGAATTTGTTGGTCGCGTAAGCTTCAGTACCCTCTGAAGAAGGCCACAATACGCTGGCTGAAACGTTAGCCACCATGTCAGTGACGCGACTCATCCAGGAATGCCTAGACAGCATTGAATTTGTATTAATTGTTCATCTGGCACTGTGTACTCAATCACTAGATTTTCTTCCTGCTGTGCCCTCTAATTCTTTAATAATTAATTGGATTGTTGGTGAAATAGATACCTTTTTTATTTTGATAAATAAATAGAGATATTGTCAGGTATCAATATTTTATATTATTTATCTTTAATAATTCTTTGATATTCCCAAACAAAATTTTGAAAATCACTTTGTGATCAAAATGTGAACTGCAAACTTGTACATCTCCATTAGTGGAAAATATGGGAGAGCAGCAAGTTAGGGAAATTTTTGCAAAGAACACATGATTGTTGATGAAACAGTGTTACAAGAACTGCACAACAATTTTTAATTTTTTTCACATTACATTTCACTTACTACAGTGCCATTTATTTGAGATTCTCTCTTTACAAATCCTTTCAAAAATATTGATCTGTATCACCCTGCAAAGTTGCGGTGGATACTAAGAATACTTTTGCAAATATAATTATTAGATACAGATGTGTGATACTTTTATTGTTGTTATAACTTATTGTTACGTCAACATTGATGAGAGTCATGACATGGAAAGGCCACATAAAAACATAAATGCTAACACTAGATTTAATTTGCAAGTATAAGTTGACCCCATAATTTTCGAATGAGATATTTAGCAAAAACCTCATCTTATATTTGGGTAAATTCAGTACAACAAAATCATTACAAAAGTGGGTTAATTTTTCAATGAAAACTTACAATTTTCAGAACTAGTGATTTACATTATTTACTCAACTGTTGGAAATGATGATTTTTTTGATTTTTCACTCTTCATTGCAGATAGATATATTTGCCCATGAATTACTTATTGTGCCTGTTCATCTCGGAGTACATTGGTGTTTAGCCTGTATTAATTTAAAGGAGAAGAAAATCTTGTATTATGACAGTATGGGTGGAAAGAACAATACTTGTTTGCAGGTAAGTGCAGTTATTCATTTTGTCTGTGTGTAGTTATTGTTGGCTTATGATTCTTATACTAGTCTTGAAATTTGTTTTTAAAAATTGGGCCAATTGCATACCACATACTTCAAGAGTTGTAATAAATAAAAAGTAAAACTTGCTTAGTAACTAAATACTATATTAATTACGTTATAAAAAAAACTACATTTACATAGTTAAAAAAGTCTTCAAGTTTCTTCCATTTTCTGGAGGAGAGGTGGTGAGGTTCTTGGAATAATGGAGAAGGCAACTTGCCTCGGTTGAGCAAACCTTCAATTTGACTGATGCAATGTCTATGAACCACCAGGTTGTTGTCTGAGCTTGCAATCCATTCAGAGGAGTATTTTTTTTTTTTTTTAACTACAAGTACTACATGGCGTACTATTGTAGAAAGAAATCAGTGGTCTGAAGCAGCAAAAATGCAGCTGCACAAAACCACACAAAATTGTTTTCCAAAAAGTAGTTCCCACACTGCTCATAAACAACAAATAAAATAGCCTATAAATATCAAACTGTATACTATAAAATATGTAACTGTTCCAAATGAACTATGTTAACAAAAACAGTTTTCATTAATTGTTAGACTGTAGATTAGTTTATATATCTGTTAATATCAAGAATATACAAAAAGTAATTTGTGAATAGCAAATATTTAATGAAGAGCTTTTTAGCATTGCTGTATTATGTCAGCTGTATCATAAGAATGATGAACCGAGTATAAGAAAAGACAAAATAAACACAATCTAAAATATACATTTTTTAATCAAAATTGAAACTTTTCTTGTTTTGGGATGCTCCTCTGAGTTCCTAGGTATCAAACAAAATCAAAAACACCTCTCACATGGCTGGAGGCTGCCAAGTTTTCTTTCAGTTTCTGTTTGCACTGGAAATTGGTAATGAAGTTAAGCTTCTTAAATGGTTATAGAATATGATCAGCAGGAATGTACAAGAGATTTCAAACTAACATAAAAGTCTTTGAAAAATTGATAAAAATGAGGAAGGATATATTGATACCGTCAGAGACAAAGATAAATGGGGAAAAATATGAAAGAGAATTGGATAATAGACTTGTTCCAGGTTTCTTTAAACATATGTAGCAACACCATATAACCAATGCAACTCCAGTAATTTCTTAGAAAGAATTTTGGCCCTTCTGAGAATATGCGGAATTGAATTTCAGGAATTTGCTTTTCCAGAAGAAAAGTAATATAGATGGCATTTTCTGACCTTGCTATTATGTAGTTGTATAGTCGATTTTGATCCATTAAATTCTTTTTTCCTTGAACTCTTTTCTGAGTGAGCTGTTACACTACATTTCCTGTGTTTTCTGAGGCCTAATATGATGTTGATAAATATGTTTTCCTTTAGTTTCAATAGAATCAAATAGATAAAAGGATTTCTTTAAGAAACATTCCTAGTTTTTGAGAAATTAGTTAAGTAATCATTGAAAACATATATTCACAGTTGGAATAATGTATAAAATATGCGAATTAACAAGATATATTTGGGGGAAAAAAACAACAAAAAAACAACAAAAACATTTGTATAATTTTTAAAAAATCAAAAGAACTCATCAAAATGGGATGTGTGTCATCCGATTCAGTACATTTAACACTATCCATACGAAATGTTAAAGAAAAAAATTGGAGTAGTTTTTGAGAATATCTTGTTTTTAAAATTGCATTAATTTCTTGTAAGATTACAGTAAGACTGCTGATTTTATGAAAAAATTGTAGATGACCTCATTTAAAGATCTAATTTTGAAGAATGGATTTCATTCAGAAGAAAAGTCTTATTTTCTGGATTGTGGTTGTAGCAAGAAGCGAAAAAAATGTAGAAGTTTTGCAATTTTCAAAAATTCACAGAATTCAACAAAAATCAGATTTGCGCAATTTTCATAAGTACACTTTGCTTAACCAATAAAAAAATGTGAAGCAAACATTTTGAGCTGTTTTCTATATTAATTTGAAGATGTCTGTGAGGGTCCAGGTAGAGACCCCTCCCTTTCCCCTTGATTGAAATTAAAATTGAAATTAAAGGGTACCGCAACATCAGCCAGATCAATCGGGATCAAGGTTGAATCTGGTGGAGGAGAATTCTAGTGGCAAGCTCCGATTGGTTGTTTTCCTTTGTTCCTTTAGGCAATACCCTAACATACAGGCCACAGGCTGTGTGTGATCTTTCCTTCCTCTTCTTTGTCCTATTCTCACTCATTCGGCATTTGCTGAGCAGCGAGGTACTGTTTGCCCAATCCCTAATAGCTGATGTGTTTGGTGAATGTTTGCTTTCTTTGGTGTGTCCTAAGAGGGAGGCTACTTGGGATTCAGCAAGCGAATCCCAATAAAATGAGCATGAGATTAGTGATTTCACCTTGCTTGCATACTTTTTCTTGTTTCTCTCCCCTTTCCTTTTCTTTTTTTTTCTTTCTTTCAAATTTTGCTCCATAAAAACAAAGAAAATAGTTCAATTTTAATTTTAAAATTTGCAAAAGATACTCCATGTTAAATTAGATTGTGAGTCTGCTGGACACAACATTGTTTCTAATGTTCTCTGTGATAAAAAAACAAAATGTGAACTCTACTTTGTATGAAAATTAAATCATTATATAAAAGGATTTTATTATTTTCAGACTCTTATGAGGTATCTTCAAGATGAAAGCATGGATAAAAAGAAAGTCAAATTTGATAACACTGGTTGGGTTTTGGAAAATGTCAAAGTAAGTAAAATAAATTTTCTATAAGCTTTGATATACGATTGTAAACATTGCTGAAGAGTAGCTTGTGTTTAGGTTTTTTCCTTTCCTTTTTGTGATGGTGTAAATAGTTTTAAGAAATTAGTAATGCCTTGAAATATATTATTAATAATAAAGTACCAACTTTGTCATAATGCCAATACAAATTCAAAAGTGAAGATTGTGGTGAAAAAGTGTTGAACCGTTGAATGTTGAAAATATCTTTTGTTGTCTTCAAAAATAGCTGTTGCGAATTATTAAATCATCAATTTTTTAATCATTTTCTTAAATATTTAGAGCTTTTTGAATAAAATGGTCCATTACTGTAAAATACACTAATTTGTTTCTTAAATGAATTATAATTAAACTTAATAAATTCCTATAATTCTCATGCTAAATTATTTCAGTTATGCATTTCACGTTTATATGTTTTTCACTTATACATTCATATTAAAAGCCCGTTAAGACTATATAACTTTCAAATGTCCCTGAAGAGGCGTGAGGTAACGTGCGCTGACAGCCCGGAACTTACACGTAAACCGAGTGAGCATGCTCCAGACCCCTCCCGTGTAGTTATCTGTTGCACGGTCTCTGATGCACGGTCTCCCCACTAATGAAACTTGTAATATAGATGCTTGATTCAGCCTAGCTCAGCCACCAGTTGTAGCCCACGTAGGACAAGACCTTCGTTTCCGCAGTGAAAGCGAGTCAAGATAAGGTCATCAGTAAGATCCCCATTGCGTGTTGATGATGACCTTCGATGATATTATTTCAAGGTGACCAGAGTTGTAATTTGTGGATTTGAGGCTCTTGTGTTTAAATCAAAGAATAGTTTGTCTTCTATCTGGATTTGTGTACGCGACATTAAACAAAAGAGAGTTGTAGGAAAAAGCAACCCCTTTCGATATAAGATAAAATAAAAAAAAAATTAAAAGTTGTTGGGGAGAGCAGCTATAAACAAGTAGACATTGCTTAATAATTGGGAAAACTGGCTAAAAATATTGAGTTTTTATTTTGCTCATCGATTTCAGTTATGTGCTTTTCTCACTTATACATTTTTTCCCTTCAGTCCCCTACAAAACATATAAGTGGAGTTTTACTGTAGTCTGAGAAATTTGTTCCAGGGAATGAGTGGCCAACCTGATACAGAAACTAGTCAAAAGATAGCAAACTACTGGCAATTACTTAAAACATTTCTACCAAACTGCTCCCAAAATTTCATAGCATTAGGTTGAATAGTGAAGGAGTCAAATGTATAGCCAAATGAACATGGGAAAGAGAGGGCTTTATGACATCCCTTAAGATTCGTCACTTTGCCACCACAAGCTTAAATTATAAAGCTCTAGATGTAGATCATCATCAAAACTGAAGTATGCTTTTTTTCTCATTAGATATGTTGCATTAGTATTGATCTCTTTCTTATTCCCCTAACTTGTGTTGGAATTTATAGGAATATTTCTGACAAATATTTAAACATTAATGTGCACTGTAGTTATTTTGAAAAAAAAATGTGTAGTTCATTTATATTATATTTATTACATTTATATTTACCCTCCATTTGAATTATAAACAGTATACCATACTTACGAATCTTTACAATGAAAAAAATTTACATTTGCAAAGAAACTACCTGCCTCTAATCATGTTATAAGAATTGTTGATGGTTATCAAATACCAATGTCTCATAAGTTTTCTTTCATTTAATAATTGGACCACAGTTGATTATGAGAAAGTATTACTGAACTATTTGTTTTTGCAGGACAATCCCCAGCAAATGAATGGAAGTGACTGTGGGATGTTTTCCTGCATGTATGCAGAATTCCTTTGCAGAAGAGCAAAAATCACTTTTTCGCAATCCGATATGTCTTATTTTCGACGTAAAATGGCCTATGAAATTCTCTCAAAAAAATTATTAATGTAATTGAAAATTTCAGTGTTAGTATAAATTTTTCACTTTTCTTTCTTGGTATGATTTCTGTTTACACTACTGTAGTGGAGGGATTTCAATTATTACTGAAAATGGAAATTTTCATGGTAATGAATGGTGAATGTGGCTGAGGTGACAGTTGTAGAAACATGCAGTTTAATAGTTTAGAAAAAAAAAAGTTTTCCTAGTTTCTATGTCACTCTGCCAACATTTTATAAATATTGTATATTTGTCATATAGTACCACCATTGTTTGTTTTTTGTGTGAATGTTGAATGGAATATTTTTCAACACTGATTTGGTGAAGTTACTAAAATGAAACTTTGTGTCACACTACCAGAAATGTTGTGTCTTGCTGATGAATTTCTAAATTCTATGATACCTGATGGAACGAGATGTATTGGTGTTTATAAGGCTCATATCAATGAAATTTAGGAATATTTGGTATATTATTTGTGTTGTGTTTGTAAGTTTGTTTTTAAAAAAAACAAGAAGTAATGTTGAAGATGTTCAGAATGAGGAAAATTAGACCTAATGACTTTCCCAGAATGTTATTTTCCTAGGCTACCAAATATTAATTTTTCTAATAATGGAAATAATATTACATAATTAAAGGAATGTATTATAACCTGAAAAATGTATAAAGATGCACAACACATTTTTTTATTGATTTAGTCTAAGGTCCGTGATATTTGCAATTTACTTTTTATGTAATGAAATATCAATTTGGAAAAATGTGTTGAAAAAAATTCACTCTTCAGTTTTCTGCTTGTTTGCTAAGAATTAATTTGGCAATTTCTTTCTTAAGAAGTTTTGACGTGATTGTAATCAAAATGCATTTTCACATTTAACACTTTTTTGTAATTTCTACAAGTGGTTTTGTTACTATTTCACAGAAATCTCTTGTGATAGTTAAAAGAAAATGCAGCACATTCCTTGTAATATTTTCTATGAAAATGTGCCAGGTAATATTATTACCACGATAATGGCTTTTGTACATTAACATTGCAAACTGTAAGATATTTTACTAGATATAATTTTAGTGAATCTGTGTATCAAAGAGAACTTTATACAGAATCATATGTTGTTTCCTTGAATTAAAAATAAATTCACTAAACTAATTGAAGTACTAACTTCATTGAATCATTAACTGTGCTTATCCTTAATTATGTCATCTCTGAAGTAACATGTTTAAAGGAATAAAGGGAAAGAGTTGTGGATTAGATTAGGCATCTCAATTTTTTTTGTCTTGCGCATCTAACACACTAAGATTTCAGAAAGGAAGCATGATATTGCTGAAGAGGAAGGAAAAAAGTTATACCACGTGTGAAAGTATTTTTGAGAGAATTAATGTTGTGGATCATTAGTAAATAATAGCCAAACCTCTGTTAACATGTGGAACAGAAATTGCAAGAAGAGAGTAGTAAAAATCACAGCAGTTCAAGTGTAATTTCTTGGACATTAGATATAATGTGAAGATGAAAAAGCTATCAAATGAACTGGGAAAATATCTGTTATGAGAAATATAAGAACTTCAGTGAAGGGAATGCAGGGTAGCTGTTTTCTTGGGTCAAATTTTCATTACATACTTTTGTTTTCCTCTTCTTTTTCTTTCTTTCTTTCTTTTCTTCTTTTTCTTCTTCTTTTTTTTCTCTTTTTTTTCCCCTTTCTTTCTTCATATTTGTCTGGGTATAGAGAGTATTTAAAGTAATTCTTGGATCAAAATGGAAATGCTGTTTTTAACTGAGCATTTCTATCTGTGGTAACTCAGGTTCCTTTGCAGTATTACATTGTGAGAAAGAACAGGGTTACCTTGTTCTGGAAAACACTGGGAATTTCAATTCCAGAAACAGTACAGGGAAAACACTGAGAAAGAAGTTCTCACATTCAAAAAATTGATTACCGAATTTACACTAACAATTATTTCCAATTTGACTAAATTCATTATTTTATGTAAGAATCATTTTTAAATAACTATTTTAAGTTAATTTTGTCCTTTTTAAGTCCTAAACTAACAAAAAATACGATGCTCTATAAAACATTGTCTAATGTATTTTAAATGCACACTTAGAATCAACTGAAATGCCGCAAGTCCTTTAAACATTATGCATGTGAGAGGAAAAGAGAGACTGCCAATGATTTTAAATTTGCTTCATTGTTTTAGTAATAGTAATATTAATATTAATAATAATAATAATAATAATAATAATAATAATAATAATAATAATAATAATAATAATAAATTTGTGACATAAATACAGCATACGACATGTATGACTAGTCAGGATATGTATATAATCATACAATACAGATATTTCTAAAATTAAATACAATATCATGGAAAGCTATAATATAAATGAATATTAATTTTATAATGGTAGTGTAAGATGACAAGTTAAAAATCAATAATAATAATAATAAAAAAAGAAATTCTTCATAGATTCGTGCCTAAGCTGGGTCTGTACTTTATATCCAACAACAACTCTAGGGGGGGTTGAAAACATGCAACAGAAAAGCAGAAATTATGAGTACTAATTTATATTGATGTAGGTAAGTGTTTATGACGTATATATTCTTTTGTACAGTAGAATGTGTGGTTTAACAGGAAAGCTTTCAGTTTAGTTGTGAATGTGTGTAATGAGTTTAAGCTTTTAAATTCGCTAAGAAGTTTATTATATAATGTAATGCCTTCTATAAGGGTACTTTTTTGAAAGAGTGAAGTTTCACTGTGTGGAACATGCAGATTTCTTTCTTGCCTAGTATCATAGTTATGAACTTCTGTGTTTAGAGTAACAGAATCCTTGTATCCCGTGTCTTCTTTGTGAAGATCAGTATTTGAAATTTGTACATGCATGGGAGTGGTAGTATTTGTAATTTTTTGAACAGTGGTTTGCAGGACTCATGTTTGTGAGTGTCATTGGTCTCAATATTTGTTTTTGGATGAAGAAAGAGTGAATACACTCTGGGGAATTTCCCCAGAATATTATTCCTTATTTTAGATGCGAGTGTACATTTGCAAAGTACACCATTTTCAGTGTATCAAAGTTAGAATTTGACTTCAGGATGTATATAGCATAACATAACTTGGTAAGCTTGTTTAGATCTGTGATATGGGAGTTCCGTTTTAGATAATCTTGAATAGTCAATCCGAGGAAAGTTGTTTCTTGGGCTATTTTTACAGGCATGTTTTTTATCATCAATTGTGCTGGAGGCTTTTCTTTATAGAGTGGATTTCGAAAGTTTAGTGAGACAGTTTTACTTGTGTTTATGATGAGTTTATATTCCTGGAACCATTTTACTAGTGCCTCTAGGACTGTTTGTGCTTCTTTTTGTAAAGTTTGTTGAATATTTGCTTAATATTAATATTTGTGTCATCTGCAAATAGGACCATTTTGCTCTTTTGTAGTGTCAGGGGAATGTCATTAATGTATAATAGAAGTAGTATGGGCCCTAGGGTTGATCCTTGAGGCACTCCGTAATTTATCATTCTAGGTTGGGAAAAATGGATAGAAATCTTTTTATCTCTAACATGCTTGATTGTGACTACTTGACAACAATTTGAGAGGTAAGATTTAACCCATTGATGTGCAATGCCTCTAATTCCCAAAGTTTCAAGTTTGGATATCAGTATGTGATGGTCATTAATATCGAATGCCTTTGATAGATCTAGAAACAAACCAATGGGGATTTCCTTCTGATCTAGAGCAACAAGTATGTCATTTAGAAAGGTGAAGATAGCTGTGTCTGTAGATCTACCATTTCTGAATCCATCTTGGGCCTCTGTCAATATGTTATTTGAATTGAGAAAATTTGGAGTCTATCTTTAAAAAGCTTTTCTAGAATTTTTGAAAATCCAGATAGTACGGATATTGGTCTGTAACTCATGAGATCGTGAGTGTTGCCGTTTTTGAATAGTGGTTCAACGTGTGCCTGCGTCGTTTATTTCAGGATCTATGCATGCACACATTAGGGCTACAAATAGCTTTTGATAATATGACATTAAGCTGCAGGTGGAGAAAAAATGCTCTTGGAGTTGATTGAGATATGCTATGCTAAACTTGTAGGGACACATCTAAGTAGAAAAACCCTACTGAAGAACGAACGCTAAATTTAATAGAAAATTACATGTAAGCGTTACTGTAAATGTGAAATTTGAAGCTCCTTTTCACAGAAATCTCTTGAATTTTCGTAAAACTTTATTGGAAGTCATTTCAAGCACTGTCACACTACAATGCCATAATGTATACTAATCAATGGAAATATGCGTATTGAAGGTGCGAGAGATATTTTAAAAAAATGTAAGAATACAGTAAAATCATTTTTATATTGTCTTAAACAGTTCAATTCCGAGTATCTCTACAAAGAGTTTGAAGAAAAAATTTGAAGCGTTTTTTTAAGAAAATGGTATTTGAGCAATTCTGAAAATGCATTATTTTAAGCTAATTTTGACAGAAAACTTTCGAGAAACTTTATAGACACCATCCTCATGTACTCGTCAATTCAATAATGGGAAGAAATCACAGCGTATGTAAATATTAATGTCGTGAGAGACTGGTCATGAAAATTAATATTTTCCTAATTTTTCTAAAAAAATAATAGCATAGAGGAAAATGACTTTTATGTCATCTCATTGAGTACATTTAACACAATCGCTATCAAAAGTTCTGAAAGAAAAAAATTGCTGCTGTTTTTGAGAAAATCTTATTTTTGTTGTTTTTTAAAATTGCACATAATGCACGCAAAATTCTAAAATCTTGAAAAAAATGTTCCTGACCTTAATGAAAGAACTAATTATGGAGAACAAATTTCATTTGAAGGAAATATCGCTATCTTCAATTTTTGTAGTTGTAGAAAGATGCTGAAAAAATCCAAACTTTTGCAATTATAGAAAAGTGGGAGTTAACAGTAAAAATTTGGATCCATGCCATCTTAATACAGGTATTTTACACTATTCTTACAAGAAATTTAAAGAAAAGATTTAGAATCATTTTTGAGGAAATTTTGAGACTGTTCCAAGGGCTTCATTTAAAGTACTGCCAAACATGAATGCTTTTCAAAATTGCAGATTCGATTCGAATCAGATTGACAGATATTTACTGAAAAAAATTGAAGATACGGGGACAAACACTTGAATTTGAAGGTATTTTTGGTAGGTAATCAAAATTGGTTGAAAACCTTCAAATTCAACTTTGTCCCGTCTCTTCAATTTTTCAGCCTGATAGATGCAAGAGAAGTTGGGGGTGAAATTAAACATGCAAAACAAGTTTCTTGATGTACCTCTGCTACAGATAGCCCTAGGAGGCTGCTTTTTTGGTAATTATGGCATTTTGTGTTCTTTCACGTGATCATTGCAATTATCGATTTGGTTTGAAAACACTTTTTACCAGCTTATTCGGCTATACCTTTTAAAACATTTCGGCATCTTGCTACAACTACAATTATGAAGATAAATATTTTTGTCTTAATGAAAAATATTCATGAAAAACAGAACTAAAAATAATACCAAGTTCAATTTTTTGAAAACATGAGCATTTTGGGTGAAATTGTGTGTCAAACATAGGCAATTTTAATTTTCTTTAAACCATTTTTTTAACAACATGAAATATTATGATTAAATTTGGACCTAGCGTAAAGGACTCTTAAGAGAATGATGCAGGTCTTATGTTTGTTAAAATGCCCAAATTTTTGAAAATTTGAAGAAAAAAATTCGGCATCTTCCTACAGCTACAGTTGTGAAGATACATTTTCTTTCTTAATGAAATGTGTTAATCAAAAACAGATCTTCAAAGGAGGTTATGTTGAATTTTTGAAAAAAGAGTATTTTTAATGGCTTTTTTAATGTAATTTGGTGACAAGCATAGTCGTCCACTTCCAATTTAGTGCTCTTTGTGAAAGTAATTCCAGGCAGTTGGATGCTTTGCAAGTTAGAATTTGTGAATGATTTCATATTTCTTTGTTTGCTTGTTACATTCGTTTTGTTATTCATTTACAAATTTATCTTTTAGAAATTATTTATAACATATTTGAAATATATTGAAATAAAAATTGCCAGCCTTCAGGGAAAATCAGATAAGAATGCAACGATGGCTTGGGAGCTAATTTCTGTGAATTACGTCTTATAGTTGGGACATTATTTACCTGCATGAAAAGTAGTTATAGTTGTCAAAATGGCATTGATATTTGCTTGAAAATATTTAGATTTTGCACCAAATATTTTTCGAATAGTAAAGAGTTTTATAGAACAATGATGACCGAGATGTATTAATTTCGAGAGAGATTGTGGTATAAAAAATATTACTCAACTATTACTAAAGGTGAGAGTACATGCTGTTTTAGCACCACTAGTTTCTAAATTTAGCAACTGCATTTATCCCCTTTTTCGTTATCAGGGCTGGGCAATGAGTTGTTTTCTGCCGATAATTTGGAGTGTTTTCGCGCATTACATAATTTTCTGTCCACTGTGTAAGTGGTAGCAAGAAAGTGGAGGAAGAAATGCACATCAAGGATATTAATGAAAATTGAAACATTGAAGGAAAAAGGATCAAGAGGTGTTTAATAAATATCAGTGATTTTGTGATTATTTATACATATATGCATAAACCGTGAAATGTAAGAATTCTCTATTTATTTGCAACTATAATTATCACATAATAAAATAGTGCAATTATATAAGTAATGGAAAGGTACATCTAACACGGAAAAATTAAAACTCGGGGAAAATATATTTGGTTTACAGGCAGTCACCCTGAAGATGCAATGGTTGAAGACTTAGCACCTCTCGTTATCTATTTGTGAGGTCTCTGATTTAATTATGATAAATTAAAAATATTCAGTTTAGAACAAATTTTCTTATCCTACTGGTTAAGCAATCTTGAGATACCAATCTGTGAAAATTGAGTTATGAGCAGCAACCTAAAGTACACAAATATGTAATGGCTAGGATCATTAGTGAAATTGTGACACATGCTGATATATTGGGTTGAACAATAAAAATTTATTCAGAATTAAAAACGAACTTGAAACTTCATTTTCTTAGAACTGGAGAAAGTTGCCTATCCTCTTTGACCTTGTGATACCCCATTTGAAAAAGTCTATTTAATAATTGTTTCAGGAACTTACCTCAATTCTATGACCTTTCTAAAAATTCACCATTTTCTTCCCTGACATTTCCAGATCAATGAAATTCCTCCAATTTCCCATTTTCCACCAAGTGATCACCCCCGAAACATCTCGTTTTCTCTAAAGAATTTTAGAGTGAAAGTATTGTGAAAGTTACAAGCAGGAATCAATTCACTTAGTTTGCTACAAGCTCAGTAGGTTCAGGGTGGGATTTATCAAACCTTTCTGGTTTGCTTCTCAATCCTTTGTCCTGGAGGATATGGGTGCCTCTTAGAGGACACCCGAACAACCTGTCAAGAATAGTAACTATGACTTCAAATGTACATTATCTATTAAATTACAAATTATTATAGACAGAACATTTGTAATTGTCTAGTTATATTAGGATAATATACTCTTCAAAGCCTCAATGTTAATAAATAACTACTACTTACTAACTATAATTCTCTGCCTGTTTTGTGAGTTCACAGTATCCTTAAGATTTCCGTGAACATACTTTGAAATTATTGTTTTAGAGCGTGATTGGAATGTTTCTGCAGTCTTTTCTAAATTAAATTATTTAAATATCTTTTACAAATGAAAATAAATTTAATTGAATTTGTTGCTTTAGAAAAAGAAAAGTTTATAATAGTAAGACTGTTTAAAAAAAATTAAGTGTCTAACCTACCATACACCTTTCAATTGAACTTTTTCGTTTTGTTTGAAAAGCAACATTTTAACATCTGTTGCTTCAAAAACATTTAACATTAACCATTATATGAATTAAGATTTAGGAAATACTGTGAAAAAATATTATTCCAAACCAAGATCAAATTTCATAGAAGGCAGAGGAACAATTTTTAGCTCTTTTGAGAGCAGAAATTGTAGAATTCTGCAACAATAACTAGGTTGTAAGTAAATTTAGAAACATTTAAAATTCACACAGAAACCAAGGTTTCTTCTGTTGATGTTTTTTACCAGAAGCAGAGTACTTAAATCGCATACTCTTGGAAAACCAAAAATTTTTTAAAAATAATTGGATAAAAAGAAATAACTTTATAATTATAATTTATATTTACTTAATTTGCAGCTAATAATTTTTACCTAATTTTACATCACATTGTCCAGTATCTTCACAAATTTATCTTATTTTTAAAAAAATATAAGACTTTATCTTCCATCAGAAACGCATGCTTTTGTGATTCTTGCACAAAAAGTGTGCCTTAGAGATCCAGTTTAGTGACAATTTATTTTTTTGAAAATACCCACAAAATTGAATTGTGAATGCAATAATGTAAAAGCAAATTTAATTTCAAAAGGTGTAATGAGTAACATGCATCATTTTCAGACAAACATTTGGCATTATTATTGCATCAGGCAAAATTTAAAAACTATAGTACAATACCCCGCATGAACATCAAGTTATCTTGACACCTATTCAGATGCTAGAAAACAAATTGTTTTCACTGTAAAACACTATTGTTGATTAAATAGTTAGCTTGGAGTTAAAGTGGCCTAAGTCACAAATAGCATTAAAGGAAACTTAACATTCACACGTTACTGAACCACAAACCAAATTATACTTCAATTCTTAACTGGTATTTTTGGATTCAAGGCACTTGCAAATTGACTAATTAGCTGGATAGATAACAACCAAATAGAAAACTCACAGGAAGAATTTTATGAGGAACAGCGTTCATTTTATATTAATTGACAATTGGAATTTCTAGTTGAGTATCGATCACTTCTTCAAAATTGCTCTAGTCAACATAAGGTAAAGAGTATTATGAAAGGGAATGGCACAATAAGAAATTATCTAATGGGATTAAATTATGAAAAACAAAGAAATGTTATCTGTACATTTATTTGAAATCAAACATAAATACATTTATATTGTACAAATTTGTGTGTGGGTTCCTTATAAATTTTGCACATAACATCTGACCAAACATTCTCAGCCAAAAGATTAATTCTCATCTCCCTTAAATTCACTGTATGAAGTCTATATGTAATTCTAGAACTACATTTACAGGCGAAGCCAATACATAGATGATCGGATTCTGTTGTAATCAGGAAGGTTCTCTACAGGCCCAACTGCTGCGACAGCTGGGCAACGGTCATAAATGTACTTGGTGCATACATCACGAACTTGCTGGACGGTGACACATTCTATCCTAGCCTCCAGCTCATGCAGGGGAATACGCCTGTTGTAGCACAGCATCTGTCGTCCAATGTCCTCACAAATAGGGGTAGTACCATCAAGCTGAAGTAACATATTGGTCTTCAGCAAGTTACGTGCCCGAGCGACTTCAGATTCTGTGATGGTTGAGCACAGACGCATCCATTCGCTTTGAATGTTGAAGAGCATGTCCTCACACTTCATTGGCTCACAGACAAAGTAGATTCCCCAGAGACCTGTGTCCTTATAGCAAGTATTGAAGGACTGGAAACTGTGAGCCAAATTGCTCTCGGCTGAGGCAGCAGCCAAATGGGAAGCATTGTTTGCACCACCTCCCTGGGAGCGGTCCCAAGCTCCAATTAAAGTGTTAGCAACCATTAATGGGATATTATCTGGACTGGTCCATCCACATCCTTCTACAGCAATTGCAATGTGAGCCAAGGGCATGGAATCATCTCTAACCCTAATTTCTGAACCAGTAAATCTACATGGTTCAAGAAGAGGAATTTCACAGTTTTCATAATCATTTTTCAAGCAACCAAACAACTGCTTAGCATGGTTTACCAATTCTTCATGCCTTACACCACCAGCTCCAGAAAGAATTATGCGAGGGGGCTTGTAATGAGTAGAAATATAATCCTGTAGATCTTGCCGAGAAATTGACTTAATGTTTTCAGTGGGTCCCAAAATTGTTCTACCCAAGGCAGTTCCCTGGTATGCTGTGGCATGCAAATGATCAAATACAACTTCTTGTAAATTCGTTTCAACTTCTTGCATTTCTCGCAAGATTACCCCCCTTTCGCGCTCGATTTCAGGTTCACCGAGCCGAGAGTTTTGAATGATGTCACTCAAAATTTCTAGGGCTTTGGGGACATCATTACTGAGACACTTAGCATAAAATACAGTTTGCTCTCTAGAAGTGTACGCATTTAAATGTGCTCCCATATTTTCAACTTCAAGCTCCAAATCAGTTTGGGATCGCTTAGATGTTCCCTTGAATGCCATATGCTCCAAAAAATGAGCAACGCCATTGTTTCGGGCATTTTCGTACCTTGATCCTGCATCAATCCAAAGGCCTACGGTTGCGGTAGGTGCACCACTATCTTCAGAAGCGACGCGAAGACCATTGTCGATGCAAGTTACTCGAGTCGGAGGAACGTTTACAAGAGCTTGCTGGTAATTAACAGCAGCAGCTGTTGAACGCCACTGTTTAGGAACATTGGATAATTTCTTGTTATTTCGGATTGCAGAGGAAAGTCGGAACAGTCGCGTCGCCATTTTGCATAGGACAGGGAGGATAGGGGCCAAGACGTTAAAGCCAAAGAGTTCACAGCAGATATAGGAACTACATGGAACTTAATCGGGGACATAGATCACAGAATAACCAGCCACCTCTTCTTTGCCCTTAGTTGGAAATATTCATTGCCTTCTTATTGTTGCAAGGCGACCATTCTCACATTGGAAAGATATGACGTGCTAATGATATCGTAGTTGCCTCAGGTTGACTAAACATTTTCAAAAGAAAATTGTGTCCACTGAGTATTTCTGTTTGTTTGACAGAGCTTTTTGAGAAGGAAAAATAATCATGATTCTATTTTCAACAAATGAATTTATAGTAAATAACATCATTAAATTTATGTAAATAATTTTATTTAAGCAGAACTTGAAGATCGAAAATAATTTTCATATAAGGCTGTGGTTACTGTACGGTGCTGCCCTCTGCGATACTGCAAGTGAAGACGAAAACGAAACGACAGTATGGTGAGGGTAATCGCGTAGGCAGTGCCGTTGATGGAGTGGTGGTGACTATACGGGCTGAACGCCATTTTCTGTGTTTGTGATCAAAGATTTTGTCGAGTTTTTGCATTCTTTATTGTGCTAGTGACAGTAGTGTGGATTTGCAGGCGTGAGGGAATGGATTAATGCTGGCCTGCGGCCTAGGCGTACTTGGTGAGTTTTGGTTCTTACAAATTTGATCGAACGTCACCCCGTTGACACTTCCTGGAATGGGCGATGTGATAAATTTATTTGAAATAATTAGAGGGGACAGTATTCATAGTTATTTTGTTGATAAGTAAGATGCTCACCAATGCTGGAAGAGGCGTGGTAATGTTGTTGATGGTTCCACTTCATTATGACGCCGCTTCACTTATAGGTGTGGTGCTGGGAGTTTTCGCTTGCATGGTTGGTTAATTTCCCTTAAACGGGATGTGAGCGCTATTACTTGGCGTCAGAGGTTATTGACGTTTTAAGTGTGGCAATATATCAATGTTGTTTATTTTAAAGTGACTTAGTACTAAATTTACACTGAATGATTTGAGAAACGTGAAGTTAGGTGTTCAATAGTATGGAAATGATTCTCTGTTAATTCTGTCGGCGCATGGCTGTACATATGACAGTCCTGATGCATTGATGTTGTTACTAGTAACGTGGGTATATTTGCAAAAGCGAATTAAGTCAGTTAAGAGTTAGTGAATATGAAGATTTAATTTAAATTTGTTCTATTGTAACATATTTAATATATCTCGGTCAACAAATAATAAATATAAGATTGCTGGTATTGTGACTAGCGTATCCTGTGCAGTGAATGAGATACTTTCATTTAATTTTTTAAAGAATTGGATTTATGTAGGTGTGGGTTAATTGAATAAAATAAAATACTTGCTCACATGCTAACTTCTTACACTAATCTAAATACATTTACTTTCAAAAGTATATCTCGGCAAAATGCATACAATTTATTATAATTCTTATATTATGTGGAGAGCTACTGCAAAACATAAATTACTCAATGGAATGTATTATAGGATGTAGTGACAAACATGTGGCATTCTGTATTGCAGCAAAAATTATAATGCTTCTTGCTGTGGAGACTTTTCATTTGGTTAGAGGAGATTTGAAAACTGTGCCTTTATGAATGTGGCTTAATATATGCCACTCAAATGGATTTTTGTTTTTTCACTTTTTCCATTTTTAAAATGATTGAAATGGTAAAATTTGAATGGTTTGAGAATGTATTATGGACACGAATGTTGCATGCTGAGAGGTAACAATACAAGCTTTTTTGGTAAGGTATAAAAGCTCAGCAATGATTGTTTAATTATTCAAAGGCAGGCACCACAACAAAAAATTATATTTGTGTGTTATTTACTAATGACAGAAATTAAGTGAATTACATTATTTTGGCTGGCCATTTGTTTGCCAGTTAACCTAAAAAATTACAAATGAGCATTATTTATCTACTTTCTCCAAAAACCACCCACATCTTTATTTTATAAGGATGTTCATTTTCTTCCCAGAGAAAATTGGTGTAGTGAAAGGTTTTTGTCTTGAACATTTAAAATTCCTATAAATTTTGACATGTATGCTCTTCAAAACCGAGAATCATGTGAGGTTAGAGAAGGATTTCATTATAAAAATTACGATTTTATCACCACCTAAACTGCTATTTTTGTTTGGAACACTTTAGTTTGAATATTTCTATGAGATTTTTATGTTAGGTTGTTTTGGCCAAAACGTATGAGGAAAGTTCAATGTGGTATTATATTTGTTTTTTATATAACTCATTAGTGTATGGTAAATTCTCTCCCACTTCATATTCTTTCTGGTATTGTATGTTTTTAGTTATTTACAATATTCTTTTAGTGGACGTTAAATTATTTCCTTCATTTATTAATAGTATTTTGGCCTAATTTTCTTTTTAAGATCTTTTTCATATGCTTATCATTATTGATACATTATCTCTTCTAATTTAATAACTTGGTTTCTGGTTTTAAATAAGGAATAAACATTCATTTGATGTACGTACTCGTATGTTGACAAATGTTAGTTAAAATAAAATATCGAATAGAAAAGGACATAAATTAAACTTAGGTGACGCCTTTTGAGTTTGCGTGTGTATTTTGACGAAGGGCGTCTGTGTGCTCCTCTACACAACCATTTGCAACTATCCAAATCCTTGTCTTTGATTGCGATGCTATGAATTTATGTTGTTTCAAATCGACCGCAATGTTTTCGTCGATTTTTAAACCATTAAATAGGCAAGAACTCAAGATCACCTTACAGGTTTATGGCGTATTTTCATTCCGTGTGTTATTGTTAAGATGTGATGGCATTTGGGGTATTTCCCACAGTGAATTGTTTTATTCGCATTGGGACATTGCCTTTTTTTCTCGTCATGACAGTATCGTTTGAGGTTCATTGGTTTGAAGTTCATCGAAATAGCTGAAGGATTAATATCGTTCACAGTAGTATATTGTCGAGATCCGTTCAAGGATTAAGTTATTTCAACGACCAGAAAATCACTAGTAGTATTGGTTCTTTCCGAAGGAAATTGTCAGATATTGGTTATTCAGAGGTTAGGAGAGAATTTGAACAGTTTTCGCATTGACCTGTCACTTTTTACACGAATAGTATCCGAGGGAATCGAGACCTTTCATGCTCATGACATGCATTTAACTTCACTTGCGAACAACTCTAACCGTGGTCTCATTTGATTATTTTGCATACAGTTAGCTGACGTACTTCTCGCAAATCGCCAGAATCAATTTGAAATTTACATGAAAATCCCATAACACAATCAGCTATTGCCATTGACAAAATCATAGTTAATATAAATAGGAAATTGAACATAACGTAACAAAATATTGACAACCCAATGTTAATAATTTTTTGTATTATTATTTTGCGTGTTGCGTAATGCAGGGGTGGATTGAAAGACTAATTTTGGAAGGGGGAAATTCAAAATGTTTTTTGTCGAATATATATTTAAGATTTTGTAAAATGTCGCAGGCGAGACTCAACTAATGCTGGGATACGATTTTATTCGTTTTAATGATAAGCCAAAATATTTTTGTTTGATAGTCTCGTCATAAGTGGAAATTAATAGTTACTTAAAAATTTTAGTGGGGGATTTCCCTCTTTTCCCTCCCCGTGGATCCGTGCGTGCATAATATCTTAGAGAAATTAAAAATTGGGAGGAATAGGTAGTCCTCTTGTATTGTCCTTTTGCAGGCATTTATAAACATATCGAGGATATCAAACCGGGCATAGGATTTTGTGTATCACGGATAATACGTTGAGGATTAGGTACAGAGTACTCAAGAACTTCCTCGATATATTCAATATCCCCTACAGAATGAAATATATCCATAATATCAGTAATTCTGGGAATCTTTTGATCTCAAAGTTTACTTTCCTCAGAATAACGACAATTAACGCCTATGAAATAACTACTATAAAATTTCCGCATGAAAACTACTTTACTCACCCTACTTTGTGATGTTGAACAGTATGTACGGTGTTTTTTCTGGGATGTTTTTAAACAATTATATTTAAAATTAAATCAAGGGTAATAAAACATCTTTCTAAAAGCATTGATGGGAGAAACATGGAAACATAATTGAGATATAACAGACAAAACGCAGTTCAAACTGATCTGATCATTTAAAAAAACTTTTGTCAGTTTGGATAATACAAAAATTATATGGATTTCATATATCGACGAGCATTCGATATTAATTATTTTTCATCCTTGGTCAGTTTTGTTTGAAGAATATTCAATTTATGAACATCAGAAAATTACAGGTTTTTATTATGATGTTACATTTTCACATTAAAAATCAACCACATAAAACGGCGTAAAAATTAAAAAATCATCGAAAAAAAAAAAAAGATGTGAAGCTTGGGAACGACTACGCGTTCTGCAAACTTTTTATCCATAATTATTATTTATAGTATATTGTGTATTTATAAAATATCTCTTGAAACAGGTATATGAGCATACTGGGCTCTGCTAGACACATGACTTTATCGTGTTTCCTTTTATATCCATTTAATTCCGAAAGATTTCAGATACCCGCTATATCTGTGGTTGTGTTTTCTCATAGTTTGTCATGGGCGCAAGTAAACATTAAGCAAGCACCCTTAAACTCCATTAATCATGGGCCCCATTATTCAGAGGCAGCTGAGGTAGATCGACGATTGTGGATCACTGTTCTATTGGATTCTTTCGAATCCTGGTTATCGATGTTAACATTTCGAAAAATTGTATTTTTTTGGTGAGTAATGTGCCGTTATCATTGTACCGTGAGTAATATACCAAAATGTGTTAAATTTTTGTGGTAATGTGCCGTTATCAATTGAACTACTTCCGGATTCTGCCATCCAGTAACCTTTTCACGGTCTCTACGTACTTTCCTATTGGATTACACAACCGAGGAACGCTTGGAAAATAAATTCCAGAAGCTCAAGTACAATGTTCTGTTTCTCCAAACAGTAACTTCTCAAAGACGGTAACTAGTTAACCATATAGTTCACATACCCGAATAGATCTTGGAAGGAATTTTGTTTTTGACGTCCATTCACGGTACATGGTCAATGTTAAAACACAGTATTGTTACCCCTGCGACGATAAAATTATATTTATTTAACGTCCAAAACGGTGACATGTTGTGGCGAGAAATGTATTGTGTGAACGTTTTGTTAATTCTGGGATCAGTACCCTAAGCCAATACCAGTTGAATTCTGAATACAAAAGAAAATAAGTTCATGGATGAATGGCAAGAATCGATTAGACATTATTCGCTTCGGTTTAATAAAAATATTTGCAACGGCCAATCGGCTCTGATCCCTTATCGTGCCGTTCGTAAAGGAATCGACTTCTGACGCGGCAACATGGAGAACGATGATTTGAATAACTATATTTCTCACTGAACTCTAGAAGACGTGCACAGATAGTGAAGTTTCCTTTATCAGAAGCAAAACAAGGGTCCGTCTCAGTATTCGCTTAAAGAATCAGGGAAACTGGATCGACCTGGGGGCATTGACTCAGAAGCTGAGGTACAATACATTTTACAGGTTATTTAGAATTACACAACCCATATGGAAATGAATACATTAAATAGCCTTCTTAAAATTAATATTACTTTTCTTTTTGATGCTCGGTATCA